TTTCCATGTCAGACGCTTCTCTGGTATCGTTCCACGGTCGTTGTTATTAAACTCACTAACTGCACCGGTTTCCTGACCCCCCCCCCCCCCCCCCCCCCCCCGCGTCTACGTTACAGTTACACTTCTGTGGCGCACAATTACAACCGCATGTATTCAATTATATTTGTTAGTTGTTGTTTTTTTTTAAATCAATTTGGTACTATTTGTAGAACATGATTATGTGGTACGTTTTCGCAACTCTTAGTACAAAACTCCAAACTGGTCACGCTTGTAACGCAGCCAGTCTTTCATTCAAAACTTGTCGTTAATTTGGATTGTAAACGTCTCACCACACGACTATTGATTAAAAATATGTTTATTGTGAAATGTAATGATTAAACCAATCACATGATATCTTTCGAATTTAGTCATTTTAACTACCAGTTAATCAAATAGCAAACAACGCAACATAAGTGTTTCAAATAGCCCTTAGAAGTACTGAAAGTAATATGCTACAGTACTGTAGATTACAGTTTTCATATTAGGCAATACTTACATTACCCAAGAAAATTTAGAGAATCTTTAATTTCCATAATATCTATCCAATGTGTAATCAAAGGTGTGATCAATGAAGACATCCTCTGCAATCATTCATGCAACAACAAAAAAACAGGTGTATTGTTTAATTAAATGAAAATTAAACAATGTTTAGCACGCATTAATTTGCATCAAGCCGGTCTTGAGCATTTGACCATAAATTCTCATCCACATCACAGTGAATGTCCTCATTGTCCATGCACTGTGGGAAAAGCCTTTTAGAATGGCGAATCCAAGCTTGACATTGGTCTGCATTGATGTCGTCGCATGCCTCATCCATGGCCAGAAGGAAGGTGGTACGCTCATGGGGATGGCGATCCTACACCTTCCATGCTGAAAAAAAAAAATCCTCAATAGGGTTGAAAGGAGAGTATGGGGGCAGGTATATTGTCACGAATCCTCAATAGGGTTGAGGAAAGGAGAGTATGGGGGCAGGTATAATGTCACGAATCCTCAATAGGGTTGAGGAAAGGAGAGTATGGGGGCAGGTATAATGTCACGAATCCTCAATAGGGTTGAGGAAAGGAGAGTATGGGGGCAGGTATAATGTCACGAATCCTCAATAGGGTTGAGGAAAGGAGAGTACGGGGGCAGGTATAATGTCACGAATCCTCAATAGGGTTGAAAGGAGAGTATGGGGGCAGGTATAATGTCACGAATCCTCAATAGGGTTGAAAGGAGAGTATGGGGGCAGGTATAATGTCACGAATCCTCAATAGGGTTGAAAGGAGAGTATGGGGGCAGGTATAATGTCACGAATCCTCAATAGGGTTGAGGAAAGGAGAGTATGGGGGCAGGTATAATGTCACGAATCCTCAATAGGGTTGAAAGGAGAGTATGGGGGCAGGTATAATGTCACGAATCCTCAATAGGGTTGAAAGGAGAGTATGGGGGCAGGTATAATGTCACGAATCCTCAATAGGGTTGAAAGGAGAGTATGGGGGCAGGTATAATGTCACGAATCCTCAATAGGGTTGAAAGGAGAGTATGGGGGCAGGTATAATGTCACGAATCAGGGATGGTCCTGAAACCATGCCTGAACCACCTCTGCATGGTGAAACCTGATATTGACCCCCCTTTCACCTTGACAGGCCTGCTCACTTTCAATGAGAAACACAATGAGGTGTGCAGCGTTGTAGGATCCAAGTGATGGCCCGTGTCCTACCACACCATCTTCAGAGACAGCTGCACACATGGAGATGTTTCCCCCCCCCCCCACCCCAGAGACAGCTGCACACATGGAGATGTTTCCCCCCCCCCCACGTTGTCCAGGCACTTGGACGGTCGCCCGTTTGCCGATGAGTTTCCACCCACGGCACAGAGTTTTGGCCAGCTTGAAGCCCGCTTCATCGACAAAGATAAACTTGTGATTGTTCATAGCAGCATCAAGCTCCATCACCCTCTAAAAAATACATTTTGGTTAGTTATTTCTACAGTATAGTTCCATTATGATATTGTGAAGTAGCATGTGCATTAATAGCAACAGTAATACAGTATGTAGCGCTGCACCTGAACATACTCGGCCCGCAGTTGTTTCACCCTGTCGTTGTTTCTCTAAAAAGGCACCAGGTAAATGTGTTTCATAGATACCTGCTGCCACTTCAAAAGGCGTCATCGTTCTCCTCAATGGCCTGCTTTCTTTCGGACAGCCCGTATGTCATTCCTGACCCTCACCATTTCCACCACTGCCCGCTCCTGCTGGTTGGTCAGCACACGGCCACCACCATGGGGTCTCCTGTCAATTCTGAGGGGTAAAACAGGGTATGCGGTCAATAGATCATACTGTAAGATGTTTTGTGAATTGACATGCGTTACAATGTCATTTACTGTAAATGTAATGGTAAAGCATAGTGCATATCCTGCAGACTTACCGGTTTTCTTGGTGAAATGTATTATTTTTTAAACATTTTTTAATTTAGCAGACGCTCTTATCTAGAGCAACTTACAGTTAGCAACTTACAGTTAGTGAGTGCATACATTATTTTTTTCATTCTGCCCCCCCGTGGGAATCGAACCCACAACCCTCTAACTGAGCTACATCCCTGCCTGCCATTCCCTCCCCTACCCTGGGCCAATTGTACGCCGCCCCATGGGCCTCCCGGTCGCGGCCGGCTACGACAGAGCCTGGATACAAACCAGGATCTCTAGTGGCACAGCTAGCACTGCGATGCAGTGCCTTAGACCGCTGCGCCACTCGGGAGACCCAAATGTTCTCATGACGGTTGATCTTTTCAGATTGGGGTGAACTAATCTGGCAGCCTCTGCCATGGTAAGGCCTCGGTTTACCACATGGTCAACGACGATGGGCCAAACTTCATTAGACGCAAGTTTCCTGCCGTCTGCCTCCCTCGCTCTGATGTCCACCTCTTTGACGGGGCCCTTTGACCCACGAGCTCTTTGATCTCTTCCTCTCACTTGCCGTCTCTCCTGCTCCATGTTGAAAGAAATTGCGAGTGTTCACACACACCCTTTTATAGGGTGACCAATTGTGGTTACCACTTTGTGAAATCAATTAGCAAAAATGAGTAGTCATTATGTATGGTCTGAGTAGTCATTATGTATGGTCTGAGTAGTCATTATGTATGGTCTGAGTAGTCATTATGTATGGTCTGAGTAGTCATTATGTATGGTCTGAGTAGTCATTATGTATGGTTTGAGTAGTCATTATGTATGGTCTGAGTAGTCATTATGTATGGTCTGAGTAGTCATTATGTATGGTCTGAGTAGTCATTATGTATGGTCTGAGTAGTCATTATGTATGGTTTGAGTAGTCATTATGTATGGTTTGAGTAGTCATTATGTATGGTCTGAGTAGTCATTATGTATGGTCTGAGTAGTCATTATGTATGGTTTGAGTAGTCATTATGTATGGTCTGAGTAGTCATTATGTATGGTCTGAGTAGTCATTATGTATGGTCTGAGTAGTCATTATGTATGGTCTGAGTAGTCATTATGTATGGTTTGAGTAGTCATTATGTATGGTTTGAGTAGTCATTATGTATGGTCTGAGTAGTCATTATGTATGGTCTGAGTAGTCATTATGTATGGTTTGAGTAGTCATTATGTATGGTCTGAGTAGTCATTATGTATGGTCTGAGTAGTCATTATGTATGGTCTGAGTAGTCATTATGTATGGGTTATCATGTATCTTACGTTTAACTTAGATGTTTATACTTGACAAACACACATTTTATTTTCTGTAGTTCTCAAAATCCAAACGGTTAAGTTGAATAAACATTAAGCGCAGTTGGATTTAAGTGATGGTCAAATGTATTTAAACAAATGAGAAGAGAATCATATGTAAAGTATTGTGAGCATTGCATTGTGAAAGGCAATTACTTTATGTGATAGGTTTTTCTAGTTGAAACACTGATTAGGTTTGGTGAAAGAGTTGTGTGATTTTGTGTGTTTTACTTTAGTTAATGGAAAATGTGCTTAAAGTTTTGAAAAAAAACGGCATTTTTGGTGATTTGTACTAAGAGTTTTACCAGATATTTGTGAAAATAGTAGCAAAGCGATAAAGTAAATTGTAACAAAGGACACATTGCATGCAAGCTGTCTTTTTAAAATCGCTACAAGAGGGAAAAACAAGTCAATCTTTCATCAGTGGTTTATTGGGTATTATAAACTGGGTGGTTCGAGCCCTGAATGCTGATTGGCTGACAGCCGTGGTATATCAGACCGTACACCATGGGTATGACAGAACATTTATTTTTACCGCTCTAATTACGTTGGTAACCAGATTATAATAGCAATAAGGCACCTCGGGGGGTTTGTGGTACATGGCCAATATAACACGGCTAAGGGGCTGTATCCAGACACTCAGCGTTGCGTCTTGCGGAAGAACAGCACTTGGCCGTGCTATATGGCCGTATACCAAAAAAAAACTCTGGCCTTGCTTAATTCTACAGCTCACTAGAGGGCGCTAGCTGCAGCCTAAGCTGCAAACGTAACCAAATGTCTAAACCGAACACGCATTGTTTGAAAAAGGTAGATTTTGTGGCGTTTATTGCAACTGTTATTAACTGTTACTGCTCAAGTGTCAAATTAAAAATACATTTGACATCATTGTGGCTACAGCAGAAAAGTTTATGGGCCTGAAAGAATTCACAACGGAAGACCTACAAGGGAAACTTGCGATGGAAGAACTACCGCCTTCCCAGGCTGCTGAGCCTTTGGGGATCAGTTTTGACTTTATGATTTTAACAGAAGTAGAGTGAATTTTATTTATTTGTATGCATCTTTTTTTTCTTTTTTTTTGCTAGTTAGTATGAATATTTTCATCCCAACGTTGTTTTGTGATATTTTACTACCATGCACAGTAGGTTGCGAAAATACACCTTATTGATTGCAGTCTGCCAATAAACCTTAAAGAAGAAGAACGTCACCTTCGAAAAAAAAAAAAAACATCGTTTCCGTTTTCTTGTCAGGCCAGTTTCCGGGCCCGCCATGATGTTCAGAAGACAACGAGGAGCAACGGAAAGACCGTCGAAATGGATTTTATGGATTTAAACACCGAAAATTATAGTTTGGAAGGAGATAATTACCGTCGTTTTGGAAAAGAGCTTAAGCTAACTGGTTATTAAAGTGGTTAATTCCAGTGGCCATTTGCTAACCAGTTAGCTCGCTACCCAAGTACTGTAAGCTAACGTTAGCTGCGGCTATTGTTTTTGTTTTGAGTGGTAGGTACACAGACCCAAGGCCGCAGATTTCCTTGTTTCATAATTTCATCGTAGGTCATACAAGGATGAACATCCTTACTGTGTGGACTGCAACTCCGAAAAGGATCGTTTGAGGACTTATTTTTGGTCGTTTTGATTTCAGTTTCCGGACCCGATAGAAGATTTTGGACGGCGCCGTTTACGGGCGGAAGAGCGAAGCTTGCGGCCTCCCATGGACTCCTAACCGCGAACTCGGGTGCCTCGCTGGCTCTCTGTGCCTCGCTGCTTTCAGCAGCTACAAGGCCCGGTTTTCGCGAGAGAGACTCCACCGACTGTATTAACCGTGAAAACCGTAATGGACACCTTCTGGAACTGTACTTTTCTTGTGGTTTTACCGGACTCTTAACGAACTGACCGGGTTATAGACGCTTTTGTCCCAGCCTTTCACTACTAGTAGCTTGGGTGTCTTTGTGACGTATACAGCTACAAGGACTATCTGTGAATACTTCCTCGTAGTTCATTGACTGTTTTCCCTTCGATATTATCAACTTGTGAAATAGATGGTTGACTCTGACCGTCAGATCTTAGACTAAAACTGATAGCTTTCCCTTCAGTCTCAAGAGTATATCTAGTACTGGTTATTGTTATTCTTAACTAACTTGTTTGTTCCCCCCCCCCTGTCTTGAGTTTGATTTAAGTGATAGTTGTGAGAATGTCGTGTGTTCATTATAAGTTCTCGTCCAAACTGGACTACAACACCGTGACCTTCGACGGGCTGCACATCACCCTGGCCGAGCTCAAACGGCAGATCATGGGCAGAGAGCGCCTCAAAGCCACCGACTGTGACCTACAGATCACCAACGCACAGACCCGTGAAGGTAAGAACTAGGGCCAAGCGCGCCCCCCTCCGGCAGTCTGAAGTAGGACAGGTTGTGTTCTACAATGAGCTGATGCCCGTGTTTAGTCAGTGATGCCTTTGTCAGGATTCTCAATGATTCTATGCAGTTCTATGGTGTGTACTTGGCGATATGGCCAACATATCATAACACGGTATTTCATTTTTCTTGGATTGTATTACTGTATTTTATGTTTTTTTAATAATATACATTTGCTTTCTGAGTTTGTGACCCTAGGGTGGTCTTTCTCCCTTCTGATTTGTTTTTATACTGTTCAATTCAACTTCAACCAAAAATAATTTTCAGCATTTTCATAAATGTCTGTATTTCCTGCACTAATTTGAGATCATTTCCACACTGCCATGTAGGCCCGCACGATGTGGGCAAACAACCTAGGCATTATTTTTAACAAAATGTTGCAATTGCAATTTGACTTGCGATTTAGAGCAAAAACACTTGGATGAACTGTTGGAATCAAGGAAATAGAATGTTTATTCAAATTCTATAGATAATAGTGGGCACTTTGAATACAGTGTTTGACATGACAACGAAATGAAAATGCCAGGGAGGAGTTGTGACAGGGTAGGAACCAAAGTGTTGATAAGTGTTTCTAGGGGACCCTATAATCTTTGGCTACATTTTTAATGTTTTTCTCTTAGATACTTAATGTAGCTAACATATTCTTGCTTTGCGTATTCCTCTTTGATTTAGAAGACACTGTTGTACAAACAACATGCTGATTTAGCTCTACACCCTCACTGGTATTATGAGGCTGTATAACTAATTACGTTTGCTATGACTCAGTACATTTATTAGCCAGCTAACACGCGATTAGCATTAGCGGCTAACAACATTTGGGCCCGTACTTGCTAAGAGAAGCTAGCTGTTTTCAGATGTAAGAAACACTTAACTAATAGTGTAATTATAGAACGCCAGTGGATTTATATTAAAGTAGCAAAGTGGAAACGGCATTTGTTGTCATCAATAATAATAATAATAATATGCCATTTAGCAGACACTTTTATCCAAAGCGACTTACAGTCATGCGTGCATACATTATTTGTGTATGGGTGGTCCCGGGGATCGAACCCACTACCTTGGCGTTACAAGCGCCGTGCTCTACCAGCTGAGCTACAGAGGACATCAACATTGTTGCATGTGCTGCATTGATCATGCTGACTGAACGCAAGTGTCTCGTGGTCGAGGAACAGGAAACATTTTTTTTATATATGTATAATCTCTATGAACTCATAGGGAGGAAAGAGACGTTGAGTCCATTCTTTTTTAAGAGTTTAGCCTGGGTGACTTTACATTGTGAAGAAAGATCTGAATGTAAGTGTTTTTTGTTTTGATGAGGTCCACATCCCCAAACACTATGTATTACTAATTATATATTATATTCCTTATGGTTCTATAGAGTACAGTACTGATTATATATATACTGGGTACCTTGTGGTTCTATAGAGTACAGTACTGCTTATATGTACTGGGTATCTTGTGGTTCTATAGAGTACAGTACTGATTATATATACTGGGTACCTTGTGGTTCTATAGAGTACATTAATGATGATATGCTGTGTACCTTGTGGTTCTATAGAGTACAGTACTGATTATATGTACTGGGTATCTTGTGGTTCTATCGAGTACAGTACTGATTATATATACTGGGTACCTTGTGGTTCTATAGAGTACATTAATGATGATATGCTGTGTACCTTGTGGTTCTATAGAGTACAGTACTGATTATATATACTGGGTACCTTGTGGTTCTATAGAGTACAGTACTGATTATATATACTGGGTACCTTGTGGTTCTATAGAGTACAGTACTGATTATATATACTGGGTACCTTGTGGTTCTATAGAGTACAGTACTGATTATATATACTGGGTACCTTGTGGTTCTATAGAGTACAGTACTGATAATATATACTGGGTACCTTGTGGTTCTATAGAGTACAGTACTGATGATATATACTGGGTACCTTGTGGTTCTATAGAGTACAGTACTGCTTATATATACTGGGTACCTTGTGGTTCTATAGAGTACAGTACTGATTATATATTCTGGGTACCTTGTGGTTCTATAGAGTACAGTACTGATTATATATACTGTGTACCTTGTGGTTCTATAGAGTACAGTACTGATTATATATACTGGGTACCTTGTGGTTCTATAGAGTACAGTACTGATTATATATATACTGGGTACCTTGTGGTTCTATAGAGTACAGTACTGATGATATATACTGGGTACCTTGTGGTTCTATAGAGTACAGTACTGCTTATATATACTGGGTACCTTGTGGTTCTATAGAGTACAGTACTGATTATATATTCTGGGTACCTTGTGGTTCTATAGAGTACAGTACTGATTATATATACTGTGTACCTTGTGGTTCTATAGAGTACAGTACTGATTATATATACTGGGTACCTTGTGGTTCTATAGAGTACATTAATGATGATATGCTGTGTACCTTGTGGTTCTATAGAGTACAGTACTGATGATATATGCTGGGTACCTTGTGGTTCTATAGAGTACAGGAGTGATTATATATACTGGGTACCTTGTGGTTCTATAGAGTACAGTACTGATTATATATACTGGGTACCTTGTGGTTCTATAGAGTACAGTACTGATTATATATACTGGGTACCTTGTGGTTCTATAGAGTACATTAATGATGATATGCTGTGTACCTTTTGGTCCTTTAGAGTACAGTACTGATTCTATATACTGGGTACCTTGTGGTTCTATAGAGTACAGTACTGATTCTATATACTGGGTACCTTGTGGTTCTATAGAGTACATTAATGATGATATATACTGGGTACCTTGTGGTTCTATAGAGTACATTAATGATGATATGCTGTGTACCTTTTGGTCCTTTAGAGTACAGTACTGATGATATATACTGGGTACCTTGTGGTTCTATAGAGTACAGTACTGATTCTATATACTGGGTACCTTGTGGTTCTATAGAGTACAGTACTGCTGATATATACTGGGTACCTTGTGGTTCTATAGAGTACATTAATGATGATATGCTGTGTACCTTGTGGTTCTATAGAGTACAGTACTGATTATATATACTGGGTACCTTGTGGTTATATAGAGTACAGTACTGATTATATATACATGGTACCTTGTGGTTCTATAGAGTACAGTACTGATTATATATACTGGGTACCTTGTGGTTCTATAGAGTACAGTACTGATTATATATATATATATACTGGGTACCTTGTGGTTCTATAGAGTACAGTACTGATTATATATACTGGGCACCTTGTGGTTCTATAGAGTACAGTACTGATTATATATACTGGCTACCTTGTGGTTCTATAGAGTACAGTACTGATTATATATACTGTGTACCTTGTGGTTCTATAGAGTACAGTACTGATTATATATACTGGGTACCTTGTGGTTCTATAGAGTACAGTACTGATTATATATACTGGGTACCTTGTGGTTCTATAGAGTACAGTACTGATTATATATACTGGGTACCTTGTGGTTCTATAGAGTACAGTACTGATTATATATACTGGGTACCTTGTGGTTCTATAGAGTACAGTACTGATTATATATACTGGGTACCTTGTGGTTCTATAGAGTACAGTACTGATTATATATACTGGGTACCTTGTGGTTCTATAGAGTACAGTACTGATTATATATATACTGGGTACCTTGTGGTTCTATAGAGTACAGTACTGATTATATATACTGGGTACCTTGTGGTTCTATAGAGTACAGTACTGATTATATATATACTGGGTACCTTGTGGTTCTATAGAGTACAGTACTGATTATAAATACTGGGTACCTTGTGGTTCTATAGAGTACAGTACTGATTATATATACTGTGTACCTTGTGGTTCTATAGAGTACAGTACTGATTATATATACTGGGTACCTTGTGGTTCTATAGAGTACAGTACTAATTATATATACTGGGTACCTTGTGGTTCTATAGAGTACAGTACTGATTATATATATACAGTGAGGGAAAAAAGTATTTGATCCCCTGCTGATTTTGTACGTTTGCCCACTGACAAAGAAATGATCCGTTTATAATTTTAATGGTAGGTTTATTTGAACAGTGAGAGACAGAATAACAACCAAAATATCCAGAAAAACGCATGTCAAAAATGTTATAAATTGATTTGCATTTTAATGAGGGAAATAAGTATTTGACCCCTCTGCAAAACATGACTTAGTACATGGTGGCAAAACCCTTGTTGGCAATCACAGAAGTCAGACGTTTCTTGTAGTTGGCCACCAGGTTTGCACACATCTCAGGAGGGATTTTGTCCCACTCCTCTTTGCAGATCTTCTCCAAGTCATTAAGGTTTCGAGGCTGACGTTTGGCAACTCGAACCTTCAGCTCCCTCCACAGATTTTCTATGGGATTAAGGTCTGGAGACTGGCTAGGCCACTCCAGGACCTTAATGTGCTTCTTCTTGAGCCACTCCTTTGTTGCCTTGGCCGTGTGTTTTGGGTCATTGTCATGCTGGAATACCCATCAACGACCCATTTTCAATGCCCTGGCTGAGGGAAGGAGGTTCTCACCCATGATTTGACGGTACATGGCCCCGTCCATCGTCCCTTTGATGCGGTGAAGTTGTCCTGTCCCCTTAGCAGAAAAATACCCCCAAAGCATAATGTTTCCACCTCCATGTTTGACGGTGGGGATGGCGTTCTTGGGGTCATGGGCAGCATTCCTCCTCCTCCAAACACGGCGAGTTGAGTTGATACCAAAGAGCTCCATTTTGGTCTCATCTGACCACAACACTTTCACCCAGTTCTCCTCTGAATCATTCAGATGTTCATTGGCAAACTTCAGATGGGCATGTATATGTGCTTTCTTGAGCAGGGGGACTTTGCGGGCGCTGCAGGATTTCAGTCCTTCTCGGCGTAGTGTGTTACCAATTGTTTTCTTGGTGACTATGGTCCCAGCTGCCTTGAGATCATTGACAAGATCCTCCCGTGTAGTTCTGGGCTGATTCCTCACCGTTCTCATGATCATTGCAACTCCACAAGGTGAGATCTTGCATGGAGCCCTAGGCCGAGGGAGATTGACAGTTATTTTGTGTTTCTTCCATTTGCGAATAATCGCACCAACTGTTGTCACCTTCTCACCAAGCTGCTTGGCGATGGTCTTGTAGCCCATTCCAGCCTTGTGTAGGTTTACAATCTTGTCCCTGACATCCTTGGAGAGCTCTTTGGTCTTGGCCATGGTGGAGAGTTTGGAATCTGATTGATTGATTGCTTCTGTGGACAGGTGTCTTTTATACAGGTAACAAACTGAGATTAGGAGCACTCCCTTTAAGAGTGTGCTCCTAATCTCAGCTCGTTACCTGTATAAAAGACACCTGGGAGCCAGAAATCTTTCTGATTGAGAGGGGGTCAAATACTTATTTCCCTCATTAAAATGCAAATCAATTTATAAAAATTTTTACATGCGTTTTTCTGGATTTTTTTGTTGTTATTCTGTCACTCACTGTTCAAATAAACCTACCATTAAAATTATAGACTGATCATTTCTTTGTCAGTGGGCAAACGTACAAAATCAGCAGGGGATCAAATACTTTTTTCCCTCACTGTATATACTGGGTACCTTGTGGTTCTATAGAGTACAGTACTGATTATATATACTGGGCACCTTGTGGTTCTATAGAGTACAGTACTGATTATATATACTGGCTACCTTGTGGTTCTATAGAGTACAGTACTGATTATATATACTGTGTACCTTGTGGTTCTATAGAGTACAGTACTGATTATATATACTGGGTACCTTGTGGTTCTATAGAGTACAGTACTGATTATATATACTGGGTACCTTGTGGTTCTATAGAGTACAGTACTGATTATATATACTGTACCTTGTGGTTCTATAGAGTACATTAATGATGATATGCTGTGTACCTTGTGGTTCTATAGAGTACAGTACTGATGATATATACTGGGTACCTTGTGGTTCTATAGAATACAGTACTGATGATATATACTGTATACCTTGTGGTTCTCTAGAGTACACTGATGAGGAGGTCCACATCCCCAAACACTCATCAGTGATCGTCAGACGCACCCCCATCGGAGGGGTCAAACCCGCGGGCAGAACGTTCATTGTGTACGTAGCTATGACTTCATGACCCTGTATTATTATATACGTGATATGAGTTTGGTGGTAGCCCCGATCTCCTGTTGACGCCTGTAAACTCCACACATCAACACACTAGTATCCAGTCAAATCAGCTAAAATATTTATATTTTAAAGTTGTCTACGCCACGTTTATGGTTGTTATTGACATGTTTTTTTTTCCTGTTTGTGTTTGTAGTGACCGTTCTGACATGGCTGCCGGATCCTCCAGACCCGTATGTAACAAGCACTCTTCCATTTCCTTACTACCTCTGTCCTCTCTCTCTATAAACTCTGCTCTGATTGGTTAAACATACTGTAAAAAAACGCTGTTCTGTTTGGTTAAGAGTTAACCCGGGTCACCAGGAAGTGAAATCTTTTTAACTCTTTGAGTTGTTACGGTGATAATATTCCATGTTTTGGTGTTTTTAAACTGCTACTGCTGTTCCCTGTGTGTATCTCACTGTGTTTTAATCCAGCAGTGTTTTTAAATGTGTTCAATGTGTTGATGGATCTGAGCTGTTTGACTGTGTCTATTTTATATCTGACTGTATTTCATATTGAAACCGACGGTTAGTGTGGTGTTGTAGCCTGCGACTGTACAGCCTCCCCTCTCTCTGTGTGTTGGGAAAATGCTTCATGGTCCCTACAGGCATGATGATGGGATTATTACTGATTTTATTGGTTATTTATTTCAAATGAATGGAAATTCTGCTTTTTCTTTCACATGGTGTTATAGCAATGAGTTTGTGACGTATTGACTGTAAGACTCTAATGCATTGATTTTATGGATACCTGTGTGTGTGTGTGACTGTGACTGTGTGTGTGTGTGACTGTGTGTGTGTGTGACTGTGTGTGTGTGTGTGTGTGTGGGGGGGGTTAAATCAGTCAATATTTTGGTGCCTGCTCAACAGTGTTCTGAACCGAAGGTTAATTGCTGATATTTCCCTGTCCTAATGCTGTTCTCCATTTTATTCTGACATTAATATGGACTGGACATAGTTGATCCTTTGTTCTCTCAACAACGTTTTTTTTACTACAAACTACTTAGAAATGCAATGCATTTTGTCTACTTTGCAAGAATTTTTTATTCTTAATTTTTAACTTAAAGGTAAACTAGGTGTAATGTATATACTATGATGACACTATACTGAATCCACGACCATGTTTGGTACAGAGTAAAAAATAAATAAAAATAAAATACAAACATTGCAATGATGATAATAGCATTACGACATCAGAGACTATTACGACATCATTGAAATGATCTATTATGACATCACAGGGTTCTAACCGGGCTGACTGTATGGCATGGTAGGTAACCCGTGGCGACAGGGTTGTGTTTGGTTGCTGCTGTACGCTGCAGATCTGTCAATAAAGAGGTCATGTGTTCTGTTGTGAGCACGTTGCACCACCACACCAGACCCTGTGTCTTCCCTTCACAGTGACCTCTGAGCCTCCCAACCTACCAGCCTCCTGCTACGACGATGAAGACTTTATCGCTTACTAAACCAGACCTCTCTGCACTCCCTCTCCCCCCCCCCCCCCCGTTCGTCCCTTGACTAGTGTTTACTACTATTGTGGAATGGTTATTGTAGTGAAAAGTATTGTTAAAAGAAATACCTTTTATTATACTGTTTTTTGAAGTGTTTTACATAATACGCTAGATAGATACTCCAAAGCGGACCCCCAGCTCCTCACTCCATGCACTCCTGTAGATGATGAGGACTAGTGAAGGCAACATGGTGAAACTTCTGCCCAGTGAAGTTAACTGTTACCATATGGCTACATGCAGTGGATAGGTAGTAGGAGCTTGGGATAACTGGTGGAATGTGAGCTAATCTGTTACCTAGATCAGCCTAGCTCTGGATTTAATCCCGTTAGCCCCGTAGTCTGTTACCTAGACCAGCCTAGCTCTGGATTTAATCCTGTTAGCCCCGTAGTCTGTTACCTAGACCAGCCTAGCTCTGGATTTAATCCTGTTAGCCCCGTAGTCTGTTACCTAGACCAGCCTAGCTCTGGATTTAATCCTGTTAGCCCCTTAGTCTGTTACCTAGACCAGCCTAGCTCTGGATTTAATCCTGTTAGCCCCGTAGTCTGTTACCTAGACCAGCCTAGCTTTGGATTTAATCCTGTTAGCCCGTAGTATGTTACCTAGACCAGCCTAGCTCTGGATTTAATCCTGTTAGCCCGTAGTCTGTTACCTAGACCAGCCTAGCTCTGGATTTAATCCTGTTAGCCCGTAGTCTGTTACCTAGAGCAGCCTAGCTCTGGATTTAATCCCGTTAGCCCTTGTAGTCTGTTACCTAGACCAGCCTAGCTCTGGGTTTAATCCCGTTAGCCCGTAGTCTGTTACCTAGACCAGCCTAGCTCTGGGTTTAATCCTGTTAGCCCGTAGTCTGTTACCTAGACCAGCCTAGCTCTGGATTTAATCCCGTTAGCCCGTAGTCTGTTACCTAGATCAGCCTAGCTCTGGATTTAATCCTGTTAGCCCGTAGTCTGTTACCTAGACCAGCCTAGCTCTGGGTTTAATCCCGTTAGCCCGTAGTCTGTTACCTAGACCAGCCTAGCTCTGGATTTAATCCCGTTAGCCCGTAGTCTGTTACCTAGACCAGCCTAGCTCTGGATTTAATCCCGTTAGCCCGTAGTCTGTTACCTAGACCAGCCTAGCTCTGGATTTAATCCTGTTAGCCCGTAGTCTGTTACCTAGAGCAGCCTAGCTCTGGATTTAATCCCGTTAGCCCTTGTAGTCTGTTACCTAGACCAGCCTAGCTCTGGGTTTAATCCCGTTAGCCCGTAGTCTGTTACCTAGACCAGCCTAGCTCTGGGTTTAATCCTGTTAGCCCGTAGTCTGTTACCTAGACCAGCCTAGCTCTGGATTTAATCCCGTTAGCCCGTAGTCTGTTACCTAGATCAGCCTAGCTCTGGATTTAATCCTGTTAGCCCGTAGTCTGTTACCTAGACCAGCCTAGCTCTGGTTTTAATCCTGTTAGCCCGTAGTCTGTTACCTAGACCAGCCTAGCTCTGGATTTAATCCCGTTAGCCCGTAGTCTGTTACCTAGACCAGCCTAGCTCTGGATTTAATCCCGTTAGCCCGTAGTCTGTTACCTAGACCAGCCTAGCTCTGGATTTAATCCCGTTAGCCCGTAGTCTGTTACCTAGACCAGCCTAGCTCTGGATTTAATCCCGTTAGCCCGTAGTCTGTTACCTAGACCAGCCTAGCTCTGGATTTAATCCCGTTAGCCCGTAGTCTGTTACCTAGACCAGCCTAGCTCTGGATTTAATCCCGTTAGCCCGTAGTCTGTTACCTAGACCAGCCTAGCTCTGGATTTAATCCCGTTAGCCCGTAGTCTGTTACCTAGACCAGCCTAGCTCTGGATTTAATCCCGTTAGCCCGTAGTCTGTTACCTAGACCACCTAGCTCTGGATTTAATCCCGTTAGCCCGTAGTCTGTTACCTAGACCAGCCTAGCTCTGGATTTAATCCCGTTAGCCCCGTAGTCTGTTACCTAGACCAGCCTAGCTCTGGATTTAATCCCGTTAGCCCCGTAGTCTGTTACCTAGACCAGCCTAGCTCTGGATTTAATCCCGTTAGCCCCGTAGTCTGTTACCTAGACCAGCCTAGCTCTGGATTTAATCCCGTTAGCCCGTAGTCTGTTACCTAGACCAGCCTAGCTCTGGATTAATCCCGTAGCCCGTAGTCTGTTACCTAGACCAGCCTAGCTCTGGATTTAATCCCGTTAGCCCGTAGTCTGTTACCTAGACCAGCCTAGCTCTGGATTTAATCCCGTAGCCCGTAGTCTGTTACCTAGACCAGCCTAGCACTGGATTTAATCCCGTTAGCCCGTAGTCTGTTACCTAGATCAGCCTAGCTCTGGATTTAATCCTGTTAGCCCGTAGTCTGTTACCTAGACCAGCCTAGCTCTGGATTTAATCCGTTAGCCGTAGTTTGTTACCTAGATCAGCCTAGCTCTGGATTTAATCCCGTTAGCCCATAGTCTGTTACCTAGGACCAGCCTAGCTCTGGATTTAATCCCGTTAGCCCGTAGTCTGTTACCTAGACCAGCCTAGCTCTGGATTTAATCCCGTTAGCCCGTAGTCTGTTACCTAGACCAGCCTAGCTCTGGATTTAATCCTGTTAGCCCGTAGTCTGTTACCTAGACCAGCCTAGCTCTGGATTTAATCATGTTAGCCCATAGTCTGTTACCTAGACCAGCCTAGCTCTGGATTTAATCCCGTTAGCCCGTAGTCTGTTACCTAGACCAGCCTAGCTCTGGATTTAATCCCGTTAGCCCGTAGTCTGTTGCCTAGACCAGCCTAGCTCTGGATTTAATCCCGTTAGCCCGTAGTCTGTTACCTAGACCAGCCTAGCTCTGGATTTAATCCTGTTAGCTAGCCAGGTGTAGCTAGCCAGGCTGTAATACCAACTACTACTACAGGTGTAGCTAGCCAGGCTGTAATACCAACTACTACTACAGGTGTAGCTAGCCAGGCTGTAAAACCAACTACTACTACAGGTGTAGCTAGCCAGGCTGTAAAACCAACTACTACTACAGGTGTAGCTAGCCAGGCTGTAATACCAACTACTACTACTACAGGTGTAGCTAGCCAGGCTGTAAAACCTACTACTACTACAGGTGTAGCTAGCCAGGCTGTAAAACCAACTACTACTACAGGTGTAGCTAGCCAGGCTGTAATACCAACTACTACTACTACAGGTGTAGCTAGCCAGGCTGTAATACCAACTACAACTACTACAGGTGTAGCTAGCCAGGCTGTAATACCAACTACTACTACAGGTGTAGCTAGCCAGGCTGTAATACCAACTACTACTGCTGGTGTAGCTAGCCAGGCTGTAATACCTACTACTACTACTGCTGGTGTAGCTAGCCAGGCTGTAATACCAACTACAACTACTACAGGTGTAGCTAGCCAGGCTGTAATACCAACTACTACTGCTGGTGTAGCTAGCCAGGCTGTAATACCAACTACTACTACAGGTGTAGCTAGCCAGGCTGTAATACCAACTACTACTATAGGTGTAGCTAGCCAGGCTGTAGGACCAACTACTACTACAGGTGTAGCTAGCCAGGCTGTAATACCAACTACTACTACAGGTGTAGCTAGCCAGGCTGTAATACCAACTACTACTACAGGTGTAGCTAGCCAGGCTGTAAAACCAACTACTACTACAGGTGTAGCTAGCCAGGCTGTAATACCAACTACTACTACAGGTGTAGCTAGCCAGGCTGTAGGACCAACTACTACTACAGGTGTAGCTAGCCAGTCTGTAATACCAACTACTACTGTAGGTGTAGCTAGCCAGGCTGTAATACCAACTACTACTACAGGTGTAGCTAACCAGGCTGTAATACCAACTACTACTGCTGGTGTAGCTAGCCAGGCTGTAATACCAACTACGACTACTACAGGTGTAGCTAGCCAGGCTGTAATACCAACTACGACTACTACAGGTGTAGCCAGCCAGGCTGTAATACCAACTACTACTACAGGTGTAGCTAGCCAGGCTGTAATACCAACTACTACTACAGGTGTAGCTAGCCAGGCTGTAATACCAACTACTACTACAGGTGTAACTAGCCAGGCTGTAATACCAGCTACTACTACAGGTGTAGCTAGCCAGGCTGTAATACCAACTACTACTACAGGTGTAGCTAGCCAGGCTGTTGGACCAACTACTACTACAGGTGTAGCTAGCCAGTCTGTAATACCAACTACTACTGTAGGTGTAGCTAGCCAGGCTGTAATACCAACTACTACTACAGGTGTAGCTAACCAGGCTGTAATACCAACTACTACTGCTGGTGTAGCTAGCCAGGCTGTAATACCAACTATGACTACTACAGGTGTAGCTAGCCAGGCTGTAATACCAAGTACGACTACTACAGGTGTAGCCAGCCAGGCTGTAATACCAACTACTACTACAGGTGTAGCTAGCCAGGCTGTAATACCAACTACTACTACAGGTGTAGCTAGCCAGGCTGTAATACCTACTACTACTACTGCTGGTGTAGCTAGCCAAGCTGTAATACCAACTACGACTACTACAGGTGTAGCCAGCCAGGCTGTAATACCAACTACTACTACAGGTGTAGCTAGCCAGGCTGTAATACCAACTACTATTATAGGTGTAGCTAGCCAGGCTGTAATACCAACTACTACTACAGGTGTAGCTAGCCAGGCTGTAATACCAACTACTACTACAGGTGTAGCTAGCCAGGCTGTAATACCAACTACTACTACAGGTGTAGCTAGCCAGGCTGTAAAACCAACTACTACTACAGGTGTAGCTAGCCAGGCTGTAAAACCAACTACTACTACAGGTGTAGCTAGCCAGGCTGTAATACCAACTACTACTACAGGTGTAGCTAGCCAGGCTGTAATACCAACTACTACTACAGGTGTAGCTAGCCAGGCTGTAAAACCAACTACTACTACAGGTGTAGCTAGCAGGCTGTAAAACCAACTACTACTACAGGTGTAGCTAGCCAGGCTGTAATACCAACTACTACTACAGGTGTAGCTAGCCAGGCTGTAATACCAACTACTACTACAGGTGTAGCTAGCCAGGCTGTAATACCAACTACTACTACAGGTGTAGCTAGCCAGGCTGTAATACCAACTACTACTACAGGTGTAGCTAGCCAGGCTGTAATACCAACTACTACTACAGGTGTAGCTAGCCAGGCTGTAAAACCAACTACTACTACAGGTGTAGCTAGCCAGGCTGTAAAACCAACTACTACTACAGGTGTAGCTAGCCAGGCTGTAATACCAACTACTACTACAGGTGTAGCTAGCCAGGCTGTAATACCAACTACTACTACAGGTGTAGCTAGCCAGGCTGTAAAACCAACTACTACTACAGGTGTAGCTAGCCAGGCTGTAAAACCAACTACTACTACAGGTGTAGCTAGCCAGGCTGTAATACCAACTACTACTACAGGTGTAGCTAGCCAGGCTGTAATACCAACTACTACTACAGGTGTAGCTAGCCAGGCTGTAATACCAACTACTACTACAGGTGTAGCTAGCCAGGCTGTAATACCAACTACTACTACTACAGGTGTAGCTAGCCAGGCTGTAATACCAACTACTACTACAGGTGTAGCTAGCCAGGCTGTAATACCAACTACTACTACAGGTGTAGCTAGCCAGGCTGTAAAACCAACTACTACTACAGGTGTAGCTAGCCAGGCTGTAATACCAACTACTACTACAGGTGTAGCTAGCCAGGCTGTAGTACCAACTACTACTACAGGTGTAGCTAGCGAGGCTGTAGTCCCATCTACTACTGCTGTAGTACTAGTTTAGCTAGTTACCCCGCCCCCGTCCCTAAGCATCAGTTCCCGTGTGAATCTCTGTGTTGGTCATCCTCCTCACATCGTATTGGAGGAGAAGGACGGTGAGGAATTGCTCTGGCTCTGCTGCGTTTGTTACAAGGCGTTCCGGGGGGGTGAGGTTTCCCCTGGGTACATATCTAGGATCAGCTTCCCTGCCACCAATCCTTACCATAACCATTAGAGTGGAAATGCAGACCTGACCCCCCAGATCAGCGTCTAGGGGAAACTTCACCCCTACACCATGGTCTTCCTGCGCCCTGATGGTCTTCTGGTCAGAACCCAAACACTGGTGTATCTTGTCCACACTGTAGTGGTTATATGAATTGACTTGGATGTATATGATCTGCTCCTCTGGCTGTGGAATGGGTGATGGATCAACTGTATGTCCTTGATTCCTCACCTCTCTCCTGCCTCCCCAAAAGACAGGTGGATGGTATCTTCTGGTCACGATGTGTCTCTTTAAGGGGAGAGGAAGCGATGCCAATATATAATGTAGATTGAGCCGGTGTCTGCTCCCAGGCAGACGGGTGGTGATTTCCACCTTGACTGTTCTGTTCTTTATGTTGCTCTTCTCCTTCAGACCGACTCTTCACCGTCCGTGTCTCTGGCCCAGCTCTCTAAGGTACTCTCTCTCTCTCTATATATATCTCTCTCTCTCTGTCTCTCTCTCTGTCTCTCTGTCTCTCTCTCTCTCTATATCTCTTTCTCTGTCTGTCTTGGGGGGGGGGGGCTTTGGGAATCACGTTGGGGTGAATTTCATTTCAACTCATTAATTCGGGGCATGAATTAAAATGTATGAATTGATTATATCACCCCTCCTCTCTTCTCCTCCTTCCTCCTCTTCTCCTCCTCCCTCCTCTTCTCTTTCCCCCCTCCTCCTCTTCCCCTCCTCTTCCCCTCCCCACTCCTCTTCTTCTCCTCCTCCTCCCTCCTCCTCCTCCCTCCTCTTCCCCTCCTCCCTCCTCCTCCCCCTTCTTTTCCCCTCCTCCCTCCTCTTCTTCTCCTCCCTCCTCTTCCCCTCCTCCCTCCTCCTCCTCCTTCTCTTCCCCTCCTCCCTCCTCTTCCCCTCCTCCCTCCCCTCCTCCCTCCCTAACTCCACTCCTCCATCCCTTTCTTCTCTCTCCTCCTCCTCCTCATCCCCCTCTCCTCTCCCAGACTGCCAACCTAGCGGAGGCCAACGCATCAGAGGATGACAAGATCAGAGCCATGATGTCACAGTCCAACAGCGAATATGACCCCATACAGTGAGTTGAACACACACACACACTGGGGGTTGGGCGGTATCCAGATGGTCATACCGTCACACCGTCCTTCTCATCCCGGGATTGATGGTATTAACAGCACTTCCAGTTGACCGGGGCAGCTCTAGCAGGGCAGAAATTTGACGAACTGACTTTGTTGGAAAAGGTGGCATCCTATGACGGTGCCACGTTGAAAGACACTGAGCTCTTCAGTACGGGCCATTCTCTACTGTCAATGTTTTGTCTATGGAGATTGCATGGCTGTGTGCTCGGTTTTATACACCTGTCAGCAACAGGTGTGGCTGAAACAGCCGAATCCACTAATTTGAAGGGGTGTCCACATACTTTTGTTTATATATAGTGTAGGTAGGAGCTACCGAATGTCATTTTTGGTAAGTTTGGACATTTACAATCGAATGTGAACGAGAGGCATTGTGCAAATGAACAAAGTTTTGATGCATCTCGTCTGAAGGAAGAACAGCACTGGCTCTGGAGCAGCATGTGGACAAGCTGTGTCTGTTTGGAGTCTGGAGTCGCTACAATCAACTGCCCGATTAACTCTACGCGAAGGAGATGTGTCGCGCTGCATGGGGAAAATGGTGGTCACACCAGATATGTGATGTCTTCACTATTATTCTACAATGTAGAAAATAGTAAAAATTAAGAAAAACCCTTGAATGAGTAGGTGTTCTAAAACTTTTGACTGGTAGTGTATTAGTGAGTCACATATGAAGAACCATCTAAAGACATTTATGAGTGAGTCACACATGAAGAACCATCTAAAGATCATTATATGAGTGAGTCACATGAAGAACCATCTAAAGACATTATGAGTGAGTCACATGAAGAACCATCTAAAGACATTATGAGTGAGTCACCATGAAGAACCATCTAAAGACATATTATATGAAGAACCATCAAGACATATGAGTGAGTCACATAAAACATCTAAGACATATGAGTGAGTCACATGAAGAACCATCTAAAGACATATTATATGAGGAACCATCTAAAGACATATTATATGAGTGAGTCACATGAAGAACCATCTAAAGACATATTATATGAGTGAGTCACATGAAGAACCATCTAAAGACATATTATATGAAGAACCATCTAAAGACATTAATGAGTGAGTCACATGAAGAACCATCTAAAGACTATTTATGATAGTGAGTCACATGAAGAACCATCTAAAGACATATTTATGAGATTAAAGCTAATATGAAGAACCATCTAAAGACATATTATATGAGTGAATCACATAAGAGAGCACATAAAGACCATATTATATGAATAGCAATGAAGAACCATCTAAAGACATTATGAGTGAGTCACACATGAAGAACCATCTAAAGACATATTATATGAAGAACATTAAGACAAATATGAAACCATTAAAGACATTTATAGAAGAACCATCTAAAGACATGAGTGATCAAATGAAGACCATCTAGAGACATTGATGTCTAAGAACCATTAAAGACATTTATATGAAGAAAAAAACAAAGAATGGTCACTCTGAAGAACCATTAAACATTTATGAGCTGATATGAAGATGGTCCATCTAAGCATTAATGAAGACCTAAAGAATTATAGTCGAGTCAATGAAGAACATCTGTTATATGATCATCTGAAGAACCTCTAAGATATGGTGAGTTACCAAGCCATTAAGCACTGAATGCTAAAACACAAAACAAAAACACATGCAGAACATCTTAAAGACTTGTAATTATGTTGTCAGTGATGAACACAAGAATTTTGATGAGTACATAAACCATTCTAAAGTTATATGATGAGTCCTGAAGATCCATATATATGGCTAAAACATTATGTGTCATATCCATCTAAAGTCTGTGTATAAACATGAAATCGTCTAACATTAGACGTTGGCCTTAAGGTTCAATCTGCATAAAGAGCTAAAAAAACAGCCAGATAAATCTGTCATCTCCTTATATGGGTTAGAAAAAAAATCACTACAAAACCATTCTGGTCTAGATTAATAGTCACTGTTCGTTGTTCAGTGATGACAGGAATCTGTCTGATCATAATACATTTCCTAATGTATTTGATGATTTATGTTCTGAGTCTATTTTGGTAAAAATTGTGTTATTCTATCAAGTCTTGTTAAACTGAACACGTCAGATTGACGTTTCAGAGCCATTAGGTTCCATCTGCTAAAAACAAAAAAACAACATGTCTCATGATTTTGATACTTTGTACTTTAGGTGAGGACCTTTTTTTTAATGGGTTATGAAAAAATAATTCACTACAAAACCATTCTGAGATCTGGGATGTGAAAACTGATGCTCAATAATATCTCAGAACTATATGCTTTGTTCAGCTAGAACCTCGTAGTCCCACGGGTCACTGAACCGTTGTCTAATTCGTTGAGGCTAACAGGCTAGCCCTTTTCATTGTTTAGTCTGCAGCGCATTTTGATGATGTCATAATTAATTAAATTCCTAAATGCAAGCTTCATAACTCGATTTATCGATTTCAAGCATTTGTGACTTCCCAATAGAGCAGTATGCTTATGCTAGTAGTAGTTGTTGTTGCTTGATGCTCCACTGCCGGTGAGCCTTGCAAAGTACAACGGTTCATATTCCTGATCACCAAACCAATTTCCCGGAGCTGCGTATTTATTTGTCAGTCCTCTCTCCCTATAATGGGACGTTTGCGCTGCACCGATCCCTGTAGCTTTACAGGAAATCAGCAATCTGTTCACTAGCTCAGTGGTTCGGAAATATTTGGACACGCGACCTCCATAAAGGAGTGGTTCAAAGCGTGCAACCAAGGACCACCACTAGGCCTATCTAACTATCTTTAGACGTATAGCCAGGACCACCACTAGGCCTATCTAACTGTCTTTAGACGTATAGCCAGGACCACCACTAGGCCTATCTAACTATCTTTAGACGTATAGCCAGGACCACCACTAGGCCTATCTAACTATCTTTAGACGTATAGCCAGGACCACCACTAGGCCTATCTAACTGTCTTTAGACGTATAGACAGGACCACCACTAGGCCTATCTAACTGTCTTTAGACGTATAGCCAGGACCACCACTAGGCCTATCTAACTATCTTTAGCCGTATAGCCAGGACCACCACTAGGCCTATCTAGCTATCTTTAGACGTATAGCCAGGACCACCACTAGGCCTATCTAACTATCTTTAGCCGTATAGCCAGGATCACCACTGAGGTAGAGAATTATAACCCACCCAAAACTAGGCCTATCTGAAATATGAACGTGATCAATGAAGTCACCGGGTAGCCTGTTGTTGAGGTGAAGATGCGTCCGTAGCAGATTTTGCTAAACTGAATTTGACGTTGTTAATATTAACGTAGGTTAAGCTACTCTGTTTTTTTTGGGCGGGAGAAAATGTAAAAAAACAAGTGGTTTCTGGTCACTAATCTGGATATGTGCGCCCGCCATTGCTGATGACTGACTGGTCATTGGTCAACAGTCAAGACGTGCAACTTTTTTTGCTTCTGAAGCACAGAGGAGATGTTTTTTTTTTTTTTAAACAAGAATTTGGTGCAATGCCGTAGGCCTATGTTAGTGACCAGATCGAATATGCAAAGATTTAAATATAAAATATGAATGGTGAGCTGTAGTTAGCCTGTATATACACTCACGACCCCAAAACCTTCTCACTGCGGTACTGTAGCTCACCCACCTGTGTTGATTGACAGTTTGCTGGTCCAATCAGAGGGCTGAGTGTGCGTTTCACTAGCCAATCTGTGTGTGCTATACTGTCTCTGGCTGCGAAAAAGAGTAGCATATTTCCCACGGAGACTCCGTGCCACAAAATGAGTGACAAAACGTTGCAAAAAAAATAAACCCTGGCCAGATAATTTCCAAGTCATCGATCTCAGATCAAAGTAGAGTCCGGGAGTTCTTGAGGCTCCAAGTCGTTTTTATTTTCTGTCGAGTCTCAAGTCATCAAATTTGTGACTCGAGTCAGACTCGAGTCCAAGTCGTGTGACTGGAGTCCGCATTTAGTAAACTTTAGTATAATGTTTAAACTGGGACTCAGCGGCGGCAGGATTGAGGTCAGATCTAACAGATGAGGGTGATGAAGACGGGTTTGGCTTCATGCTGTTTCAACGTGGGTCGCTACGGGACCAAAACAAGCCGACGCTTTTAGCCGCACGCGTCAACGCTCTTTAGTTGTTTTTGAATGGACCCAGTATTACAGTCTACTGGGTGATGGTTGACTCTGCCTTCAGTGTGTTTTTGAATGGACCCAGTATAACAGTCTACTTGGTGATGGTTGACTCTGCCTTCAGTGTGTTTTTGAATGGACCCAGTATAACAGTCTACTTGGTGATGGTTGACTCTGCCTTCAGTGTGTTTTTGAATGGACCCAGTATAACAGTCCACTGGGTGATGGTTGACTCTGCCTTCAGTGTGTTTTTGAATGGACCCAGTATAACAGTCCACTGGGTGATGGTTGACTCTGCCTTCAGTGTGTTTTTGAATGGACCCAGTATAACAGTCCACTGGGTGATGGTTGACTCTGCCTTCAGTGTGTTTTTGAATGGACCCAGTATAACAGTCCACTGGGTGATGGTTGACTCTGCCTTCAGTGTGTTTTTGAATGGACCCAGTATAACAGTCTACTGGGTGATGGTTGACTCTGCCTTCAGTGTGTTTTCTGTGTTCCTCCTCAGTTACTCTAAGAAGGCCATCGGACCCCCTCCTGCACATTACACCTGCTATCGCTGTGGCAAGAACGGACACTACATCAAACACTGCCCCTTGCAGCTGGTACGAAGCTACATATACACTACATATACACTACATATACACTACATATACACTACATAACACTACATAACACTACATATACACTACATATACACTACATATACACTACATATACACTACATAACACTACATGCTATCGCTGTGGCAAGAACGGACACTACATCAAACACTGCCCCATGCAGCTGGTACGAAGCTACATAACACTACATATACACTACATAACACTACACCTGCTATCGCTGTGGCAAGAACGGACACTACATCAAACACTGCCCCATGCAGCTGGTATGAAGCTACATAACACTACATATACACTACATAACACTACATAACACTACATATACACTACATAACACTACATATACACTACATATACACTACACCTGCTATCGCTGTGGCAAGAACGGACACTACATCAAACACTGCCCCATGCAGCTGGTACGAAGCTACATATACACTACATAACACTACATAACACTACACCTGCTATCGCTGTGGCAAAAACGGACACTACATCAAACACTGCCCCATGCAGCTGGTACGAAGCTACATAACACTACATATACACTACATAAACACTCACTAGCCAGTTTATTAGGTACAACCTTCTAGTACCGGGACGGACCGTCCATCTGCCTCCAAAACAGCCTGAATTCTTCGGGGCATGGATTCTACAAGTCGGAAACGTTCCACAGGGATGTCAGTCCGTAGTTGCTGCAGATTGGATGGCGGTACACACGGCCACCAGCCTGTACCGTTGACACCAGGCAGGATGGGTCCATGGACTCATGCTGCTTACACCAAATCCTGACACTGCCATCAGCATGACGCAACAGGGACCGGGGGTTAGTCCAACCAGGCGATGTTTTTTCCTCCGTTCTCGGTAAACCCTGGACGCTATCGTGCATAAAAAGCCCAGGATGGCAGCCGTTTCTGAGATACCGTCACCTATGATCACACCAAATCAAATTTTATTGGCCACATGCGCCGAATACAACAGGTGCAGACATTACAGTCAAATGGTCCGGGTAGCCATGATTGGTTAGAGGGCTATAAAACGGCAGCCATCTTCTCCGGCGCCATTCTTATCGCCATTCTTTCCACGCTCAGTCGCTCAGGTCACTCGTTTTGCCCGTTGTAACGTTAGATCGAAAAGTAACTGGATGCCTGTCTGCCTGCTTTATATAGCGAGCCACAGCCATGTGACTCACTGTCTATAGGAGCGATAAATAACATTCTCGAACAGGGTGGTGTACCTAATAAACTGGCCGGTGAGTGTACACTTCATATACACTACACCTGCAATCGCTGTGGCAAGAACGGACACTACAGCAAACACTGCCCCATGCAGATGGTACGAAGCTACATAACACTACATATACGCTACATAACACTACATAACACTACATATACACTACATAACACTACACCTGCTATCGCTGTGGCAAGAACGGACACTACATCAAACACTGCCCCTTGCAGCTGGTACGAAGCTACATATACACTACATATACACTACATAACACTACATAACACTACATATACACTACATATACACTACATATACACTACATAACACTACATGCTATCGCTGTGGCAAGAACGGACACTACATCAAACACTGCCCCATGCAGCTGGTACGAAGCTACATAACACTACATATACACTACATAACACTACACCTGCTATCGCTGTGGCAAGAACGGACACTACATCAAACACTGCCCCATGCAGCTGGTATGAAGCTACATAACACTACATATACACTACATAACACTACATAACACTACATATACACTACATAACACTACATATACACTACATATACACTACACCTGCTATCGCTGTGGCAAGAACGGACACTACATCAAACACTGCCCCATGCAGCTGGTACGAAGCTACATAACACTACATATACACTACATAACACTACATAACACTACACCTGCTATCGCTGTGGCAAGAACGGACACTACATCAAACACTGCCCCATGCAGCTGGTACGAAGCTACATAACACTACATATACACTACATAAACACTCACTAGCCAGTTTATTAGGTACAACCTTCTAGTACCGGGACGGACCGTCCATCTGCCTCCAAAACAGCCTGAATTCTTCGGGGCATGGATTCTACAAGTCGGAAACGTTCCACAGGGATGTCAGTCCGTAGTTGCTGCAGATTGGATGGCGGTACACACGGCCACCAGCCTGTACCGTTGACACCAGGCAGGATGGGTCCATGGACTCATGCTGCTTACACCAAATCCTGACACTGCCATCAGCATGACGCAACAGGGACCGGGGGTTAGTCCAACCAGGCGATGTTTTTTCCTCCGTTCTCGGTAAACCCTGGACGCTATCGTGCATAAAAAGCCCAGGATGGCAGCCGTTTCTGAGAGACCGTCACCTATGATCACACCAAATCAAATGTTATTGGCCACATGCGCCGAATACAACGGGTGCAGACATTACAGTCAAATGGTCCGGGTAGCCATGATTGGTTAGAGGGCTATAAAACGGCAGCCATCTTCTCCGGCGCCATTCTTTCCACGCTCAGGTCACTCGTTTTGCCCGTTGTAACGTTAGATCGAAAAGTAACTGGATGCCTGTCTGCCTGCTTTATATAGCGAGCCACGGCCATGTGACTCACTGTCTATAGGAGCGATAAATTAAATTCTCGAACAGGGTGGTGTACCTAATAAACTGGCCGGTGAGTGTACACTTCATATACACTACACCTGCTATCGCTGTGGCAAGAACGGACACTACAGCAAACACTGCCCCATGCAGATGGTACGAAGCTACATAACACTACATATACACTACATATACACTACATATACACTACATAACACTACATATACACTACATAATGGAAGTGGAATTATGTTTTTTGAAATTTTAACAAATTAATTAAAAATGTAAAGCTGAAATGTCTTGACAGTAAGGATTCATACTGTGAAGCTACATAATTCAAACTAAAATACTTACCAATACATACGTGCATGGATTTAACATTAACATGCCTAGTGATTAACACATACTACTACACCAAACACTACATATATCCCGAGGTCCCTCATGAACACATAACACACAATACCAAGGTTCTATCCTCGCAAGAAGGCACTTTCGCAATGGTAACAATCAAATAAAAGACTACATATCCCTTACATGGAAGTATTACCATGTTCACTTGGATGGTGTATCATACACCAACACTCAAAGATGTACAAGCGTACTTCAAATCAGTTGCAAAAAACCGCATAGGGAATTCCTGAGCCAAGGGAGTTAATCTGTTTCAAATTTGAAATCTACATATACTACAACGAAATCACTGAATGATCGTTAGTCCCGATTGTGGCAGAAACGGCCCACTCAACCTGCCCATGGATGGCAGACCATACATATACACCAACCTACACTACCATACATACTAACCAATCACTGTAAGTGACATAACCACATAGTTTTACCTACTTCCGTAAATGACCTACATAACATAAAAACCCAGATCAACATACATATCTTGAGATAACCCTACATGACACTACAACACATATATTGACATACCCACAATACCGATCAACTAACCTCATATCACTCAGAAAGCCATATGGTAAGGTATAACTACCATCTCTACCATATACCACTCAGTTAATCCTTACATATGCCAGTTAATAACTTGAGCAAAGTCTGTACTACTAGCCTCTTATATACACCCATAACATCATAGCCCTAATTACATTCTCAACAGGTGGAAAACCCTAAATACCTAATGACACTATTAACCTACACATTAATCTACCTAAGATAGACTACAACAACTGCCCTAATACACTACATAACATGACATAACCTACATATACATACATAACACTACATATACTACATATAACACATAGCCCTACATAATACCACTACTAACATACATAACCCTACATAACTACATAACATACACAACCCTCATATACATACATAACCTACATATACACTACATAACCCTACATATACACTACATAACATGACATAACCCTACATATACACTACATATACATGACATAACCTACATATACACTACATAACCCTACATATACACTACATAACATGACATAACCCTACATATACACTACATAACATGACATAACCCTACATATACACTACATAACCCTACATATACACTACATAACATGACATAACCCTACATATACACTACAAACATGACATAACCCTACATATACACTACATAACAGACATAACCCTACATATACACTACATAACCTGACATAACACGACATAACACTGACAATACCTACATATACCTACATAACATACATAACCCTACATATACACACATAAATACATAACCCTACATATACACTACATACATGACATAACCTACATAACACATACACTAACCCTAATATACACTACATAACATGACATAACCCTACATATACACTACTACCACTTACACTACAAAACATGCATACCTTCATAACTATACATGCAAACGTACTAACACACAACCACTACATAACCCTCAAACATATACCTACATACACTACGTATAACCTACATATACACTACATAGCCCTACATATACACTACATAACATGACATAACCCTACATATACACTACGTAACATTACATGCTCTGTGTTGTAGGATAAGAGTGTGGAGGCTCCTAAGCCAGTCAGGACCAGTAAGGGGATCCCTCAGAGCTTTATGGTGAAGGCTGAACCAGGAACTAAAGGAGCCATGTTGACCAGCACTGGAGAATACGCTATCCCTGCTATAGACGCGTAGGTACCACCCAAACACACCATGTTGACCAGCCCTGGAGAATACACTATCCCTGCTATAGACGAGTAGGTACCACCCAAACACACACCATGTTGACCAGCCCTGGAGAATACACTATCCCTGCTATAGACGGGTACGTACCACCCACACCATGTTGACCAGCCCTGGAGAATACACTATCCCTGCTATAGACGGGTACGTACCCACACACACACCATGTTGACCAGCCCTGGAGAATACACTATCCCTGCTATAGACGGGTACGTACCGCACTTAATATAATGTGTGTATTCCAGGAGAGTCTATGTTCTATGGGGAAGAGGAGGTTAGAATAATATAATGTGTGTATTCCAGGGAGGTCTATGCTCTGGGGGAAGAAGGAGAGTGTAGATAATATAATGTGTGTATTCCAGGGAGGTCTATGTTCTGGGGGAAGAAGGAGAGTGTAGATAATATAATGTGTGTATTCCAGGGAGGCCTATGCTCTGGGGAAGAAGGAGAGTGTAGATAATATAATGTGTGTATTCCAGGGAGGTCTATGTTCCTGGGGAAGAAGGAGGAGTGTAGATAATATAATGTGTGTATTCCAGGGAGGTCTATGCTCTGGGGGAAGAAGGAGAGTGTAGATAATATAATGTGTGTATTCCAGGGAGGTCTATGCTCTGGGGGAAGAAGGAGAGTGTAGATAATATAATGTGTGTATTCCAGGGAGGTCTATGTTCTGGGGGAAGAAGGAGAGTGTAGATAATATAATGTGTGTATTCCAGGGAGGTCTATGCTCCGGGGGAAGAAGGAGAGGTGTAGATAATATAATGTGTGTATTCCAGGGAGGTCTATGTTCTGGGGGAAGAAGGAGAGTGTAGATAATATAATGTGTGTATTCTAGGGAGGTCTATGTTCTGGGGGAAGAAAGAGAGTGTAGATAATATAATGTGTGTATTCCAGGGAGGCCTATGCTCTGGGGGGAAGAAGGAGAGTGTAGATAATATAATGTGTGTATTCCAGGGAGGCCTATGCTCTGGGGGAAGAAGGAGAGTGTAGATAATATAATGTGTGTATTCCAGGGAGGCCTATGCTCCGGGGGAAGAAGGAGAGTGTAGATAATATAATGTGTGTATTCCAGGGAGGCCTATGCTCTGGGGAAGAAAGAGCGCCCCCCCTTTGTTCCACGTGAAGCGTCATCGTCTGAAGATGAGGCTGATCCAATCCCTGATGAGCTGCTCTGCCCCATCTGTAATTAACTCATTATTATTATTATTATTATTATTACATTTAATTATACACTTTGTTTATTGGTTTGGTTTCATTTAACTAGGAGATTTTTTGTTGTTGTCAAAAGACCAGAAATGACATCTGAGCAGCGATTTGTTGTTGAGACGTCTTTTTAAAAACCACTTCCTTGAATCATTTGAATGTTCTGTCTTCTAAAATGTCTTCCAGGTAATGACCTGATGAATGATGCTGTGGTCATACCCTGCTGTGGGAACTCCTACTGCGACGACTGTGAGTTAATACAGGAGCTTTCTAACTTTTCTTGGCAAACTGGCGACCCAGGGGACCCCGATCGTATGTTAGCATAAATATCATCAGCTGAAAGGTAAATCAACATTTTTGAAATGAATAGATTCATTATTTTTGACCTTCCCACAGTTCATTGGAAGATTTTTTTAAATTTTAGTCATTTAGCAGACGCTCTTAACCCTAATTGCTCCTGTAAATCGCTCTGGATTAAGTGCCTTGCTTAAGGGCACATCGACAGATTTTTCACCTAGTCGGCTCGGGGATTAGAACCAGCGACCTTTTCGGTTACTGGCACAACGCTCTTACCCACTAAGCTACCTGCCGTTAGTGTAAACTCTAACTTAGGGTTCTATTCAGTCCCTAGCGCTGAAGATCCGCTTCATAGCGCGATTGACAATCAAAGGCAACGTTCCCACGGTCGCGGAGACTGCGTTCACGGTAAACGCTGCATTTGTCGTCACAATCAGAAATGACCTTAACGTTTTTCTGCGGAGACGTATTGAATCCGGCCCGTAGGTATCTTGGCGTCAAAAGATTCTGCAATTCAAAATGGAAAAAAATGCATTGAAATTAGGGCTGTCAAATGATTAAAATTTTTAATCAAATTAATCAGAATTTTCAGTGGATTAATCATGATTAATCACTATTTGCAATTACACCTGAATCCTAACCATTTTTTTTCTGAAATGCATACCAAAAGATAAATAACAGGACACAGATACATAATTTTCATATTATGTCTGTTTATTAACACAGCCAAATAATGGTGTTTTAAATCAAGCTGAAACATACTACACACCATAATATTTGTCTTTGTAATGTTCCATCACTTCCTCTTTGGCATTCCTCTTAACCAGGATGTACAATTTACAGTATTCAATTGAACAGAAAGCAATAAATGTAGTCAAATCATAACAGTGACCTACCACATTTTTGCACAATTTGAGTCATCTGTGGAAAAAAACATTTTCAATAAAACTTTTAAATCAAACCAAAGAACAATCTTTTACCTTTTCCTCCATTCTTTAATCCAGTTGCTCAAAAATCCAGTTGCTAACTACTATAACATGTTGCACTGAAACTGGTCTTTTTGTTTGAACATCACCTTTCAAATCTACTGAGCTTCATCATCTTTCAGCCAGTTGCTGAGGCAAACTAACTTGTTCACATTTTCTGAAAGTAAAGCTGACCTTTTCTTGTTCACAATGTGACCTGCAACTGAGAAAAGTCGTTCACAGGGAACAGTGGTTGCAGGAGTGGCTAGATATCAAATTATCTGAGGTTGATTTTGTTAATTGCCTGCAAACATTCAGCGTGGTCTGGCGCAAACCACTTGCTGAATCTGACGGCCCAGCAAACGCATGTTTGGCGTTGACATGGTACTTCAAGCTTGAACAGCTCCGGTGAAATTGAAACTCCTTCTTACAAATCTTGCAAATAACCTTGTACTTGTTAACTGTCCAATCATCATTCTTTTTATATTTGAATCCGTCAATAGGCCCACTTTGCTCACCTTGCTCCATCTCGCCTCTAGCTCCCAACCACTTTCCTGACCTGAATAATTTGTCACACTGCGCATGCGTGAAATGCGTTAAAAAAATTGACGTAATTAACAGCAAACAACTAATTAACGTCGTTAACGCGCTATTTTTGACAGCCCTAATTGAAATACAACATTTTTGCAGTTTTGAAGCTAATTTCCTGCAATTCTACACAGTTTGGCATGGACCTGAGAGATCATTTTGCGGTTTTAAAGCTAATTCCCTGTAATTCTTTGCATTTTCCAATGGCTAATGCTGTGTTCCTCTGCTCAAACATTGGAACAAAATCAATGGGCATGTGCTCTGAACACCCAGGTTTTCGAAGGTTCTGTTTTCCCTGACTGTCTAACTTTTATTGGATTGTTAGTTCTCAAAGATGGTTTTATAAACAATGTATATAGATCAATATATTTTCTGCAAATGTAATTTAATTTGTCACATGCTTCGTAGATAACAGGTGTAGACTAACAGTGAAATGCTTCCTGATGGGTCCTTTTCCAACAACGCAGAGTAAAAATAACATGGCTATATACAGGAAGTACCAGTACTGAGTCAATGTGTAGGGGTACCAGGTAATAACATGGCTATATACAGGAAGTACCAGTACTGAGTCAATGTGTAGGGGTACCAGGTAATAACATGGCTATATACAGGAAGTACCAGTACTGAGTCAATGTGTAGGGGTACCAGGTAATAACATGGCTATATACAGGAAGTACCAGTACTGAGTCAATGTGTAGGGGTACCAGGTAATAACATGGCTATATACAGGAAGTACCAGTACTGAGTCAATGTGTAGGGGTACCAGGTAATAACATGGCTATATACAGGAAGTACCAGTACTGAGTCAATGTGTAGGGGTACCAGGTAATAACATGGCTATATACAGGAAGTACCAGTACTGAGTCAATGTGTATGGGTACCAGGTAATAACATGGCTATATACAGGAAGTACCAGTACTGAGTCAATGTGTAGGGGTACCAGGTAATAACATGGCTATATACAGGAAGTACCAGTACTGAGTCGATGTGCAGGGGTACCAGGTAATAACATGGCTATATACAGGAAGTACCAGTACTGAGTCAATGTGTAGGGGTACCAGGTAATAACATGGCTATATACAGGAAGAAAAACACCTGTTTCACCTGACCTTTAACCTCTGACCTCTGTGTCGATTACCTTTAACCTCTAGGTATCAGGACCAATCTGCTGGACTCAGAGGAACACACCTGTTTCACGTGCAAACAGTCTGACGTCTCACCTGACGCTCTCATCGCTAACAAGTTCCTACGACAGGTACACACTTACAGAGACAAACCACACACACACACACACAATCGCACACAGTCAGTCAGTCACTAAATAATACACACTATTGCTTTATTTATTCATTCAAAATGTCTCCCTCTCTCTCCCCTCTCTCTCTCTCTCTCTCTCTCTCTCTCTCTCTCTCTCTCCCTCTCCCTCTCCCCTCCCTCTCCCCCTCTCCTCTCTCTCTGCCGCTCCTCCCTCCTCTCCCTCTCTCTCTCTCTCTCTCTCCTCTCTCTCTCTCTCTCTCCTCTCCCCTCCCTCTCTCTGCCGCTCTCTCTCTCTCTCTCAGGCAGTGAATAACTTTAAGAATGAGTCTGGTTACACCAAACAGCCACGAAACAAAACCCTGCACCAGTCTGCCCCACCCCCAGCACGGCCTCAGCCATTCAGAACCCTCGGCTCGAGACAGCAGGACCCGCTATTGGCCAACGCTCGCCAGCAGGACCCGCTATTGGCCAACGCTCGCCAGCAGGACCCGCTTATGGCCAACGCTCGCCAGCAGGACCCGCTATTGGCCAACGCTCGCCAGCAGGACCCGCTGTTGGCCAACGCTCGCCAGCAGGACCCGCTGTTGGCCAACGCTCGCCAGCAAGACCCGCTATTGGCCAACGCTCGCCAGCAGGACCCGCTATTGGTTAACACCTCTCGACCCCCAGTCTCCCTCACCCCTCCTTCTGTCACCCTGACACAAGCCCCGCCCATTCAGACCCCACCGATTGGACCACCTGAGGTGTCAATCACTCCTGACCCCGCCCCTGAACCACACCGGGCGGAGCCACAGCACTTGGCCAAACAGAACGAGCCACCGCCGCCGGGGTGAGTTGCCGTGACTACGGACGCCACACAGACACACATCTCAACTGTTGGTGACTGATTGATTAACTGACTGATTCATTGGTGTTTTTTTTTTTGTAGTGAGATGGAAGCGGGGCCTTACATGATGTCCGAGCCACCAATCAGATCAGCCGACAGCGGACCTCAGGTAAGACACCCTGCTACTAAACTCAGCAAAAAAAGAAACGTCCCTTTTTTCAGGACCCTGTCTTTCAAAGATAATTAATCCAAATAACTTCACAGATCTTCATTGTAAAGGGTTTAAACACTGTTTCCCATGCTTGTTCAATGAACCATAAACAATTAATGAACATGCACCTGTGGAACGGTCGTTAAGACACTAACAGCTTACAGACGGTAGGCAATTAAGGTCACAGTTATGAAAACTTAGGACACCAAAGAGGCCTTTCTACTGACTCTGCAAAACACCAAGAGAAAGATGCCCAGGGTCCCTGCTCATCTGCGTGAACGTGCCTTAGGCATGCTGCAAGGAGGCATGAGGACTGCAGATGTGGCCAGGGCAATAAATTGCAATGTCCGTACTGTGAGACGCCTAAGACCGCGCTACAGGGAGACAGGACGGACAGCTGATCGTCCTCACAGTGGCAGACCACGTGTAACAACACCTGCACAGGATCGGTACATCCGAACATCACACCTGCGGGACTGGTACAGGATGGCAACAACAACTGCCCGAGTTACACCAGGAACGCACAATCCCTCCATCAGTGCTCAGTGGTGTGTCACAGCATCATCGGACTGAGCTTGCTGTCATTGCAGGCGATCTCAACGCTGTGCGTTACAGGGAAGACATCCTCCTCCCTCATGTGGTACCCTTCCTGCAGGCTCATCCTGACATGACCCTCCAGCGTGACAATGCCACCAGCCATACTGCTCGTTCTGTGCGTGATTTCCTGCAAGACAGGAATGTCAGTGTTCTGCCATGGCCAGCGAAGAGCCTTGCAGGTGCCTTGGTGGAAGAGTGGGGTAACATCTCACAGCAAGAACTGGCCAATCTGGTGCAGTCCATGAGGAGGAGATGCACTGCAGTACTTAATGCAGCTGGTGGCCACACCAGATACTGACTGTAACCCCCTTTGTTCAGGGACACATTATTCAATTTCTGTTAGTCACATGTCTGTGGAACTTGTTCAGTTTATGTCTCAGTTGTTGAATCTTGTTATGTTCATACAAAATATTTACACGTTAAAGTTTGCTGAAAATAAATGCAGTTGACAGTGAGAGGACGTTTCTTTTTTTTTTGCTGAGTTTAGTTGTCTTAGAGGCTACATAAGGCTCTTATGACCTGTCATCACCTGTCATAGCCTCTGTAGATTCTAAGACGCACTATAATATGTTTTGTTCCCATTTTTTAAAACCTGTATCTCATTTGCATTTCCTAAAATGTCCCTGTATATTTTCCTGAGCCCTCTCTCTGATTTGGTTCCTCAGGGCTACCACATGCCTCTGATTGGTCACCCTCCGCCCCTAAGGCCCTCCCACCCATCAGGTCCACCTCCGCAGCCCTCCCATTCCCACAGAGGAGGACCCAGACCACCCTGGGACAGGTAGCACACTGATCAATACAGGACTACTGTAGAATACAGGACTATAACATGTAGTGGTCAACTGATCAAAACAGGACTACTGTAGAATACAGGACTATAACATGTAGTGGTCAACTGATCAAAACAGGACTACTGTAGAATACAGGACTATAACATATAGTGGTCAACTGATCAAAACAGGACTACTGTAGAATACAGGACTATAACATGTAGTGGTCAACTGATCAAAACAGGACTACTGTAGAATACAGGACTATAACATGTAGTGGTCAACTGATCAAAACAGGACTACTGTAGAATACAGGACTATAACATATAGTGGTCAACTGATCAAAACAGGACTACTGTAGAATACTGGACTATAACATGTAGTGGTCAACTGATCAAAACAGGACTACTGTAGAATACAGGACTATAACATATAGTGGTCAACTGATCAAAACAGGACTACTGTAGAATACAGGACTATAACATGTAGTGGTCAACTGATCAAAACAGGACTACTGTAGAATACAGGACTATAACATATAGTGGTCAACTGATCAATACAGGACTACTGTAGAATACAGGACTATAACATGTAGTGGTCACACTGATCAAAACAGGACTACTGTAGAATACAGGACTATAACATGTAGTGGTCAACTGATCAAAACAGGACTACTGTAGAATACAGGACTATAACATGTAGTGGTCAACTGATCAAAACAGGACTACTGTAGAATACAGGACTATAACATGTAGTGGTCAACTGATCAAAACAGGACTACTGTAGAATACAGGACTATAACATGTAGTGGTCAACTGATCAAAACAGGACTACTGTAGAATACAGGACTATAACATGTAGTGGTCAACTGATCAAAACAGGACTACTGTAGAATACAGGACTATAACATATAGTGGTCACACTGATCAAAACAGGACTACTGTAGAATACAGGACTATAACATGTAGTGGTCAACTGATCAAAACAGGACTACTGTAGAATACAGGACTATAACATGTAGTGGTCAACTGATCAAAACAGGACTACTGTAGAATACAGGACTATAACATGTAGTGGTCAACTGATCAAAACAGGACTACTGTAGAATACAGGACTATAACATATAGTGGTCAACTGATCAAAACAGGACTACTGTAGAATACAGGACTATAACATGTAGTGGTCAACTGATCAAAACAGGACTACTGTAGAATACAGGACTATAACATGTAGTGGTCAACTGATCAAAACAGGACTACTGTAGAATACAGGACTATAACATATAGTGGTCAACTGATCAAAACAGGACTACTGTAGAATACAGGACTATAACATATAGTGGTCAACTGATCAAAACAGGACTACTGTAGAATACAGGACTATAACATGTAGTGGTCAACTGATCAAAACAGGACTACTGTAGAATACAGGACTATAACATATACAGTGGGGGAAAAAAGTATTTAGTCAGCCACCAATTGTGCAAGTTCTCCCACTTAAAAAGATGAGGGGCCTGTAATTTTCATCATAGGTACACGTCAACTATGACAGACAAATTGAGATTTTTTTTCTCCAGAAAATCACATTGTAGGATTTTTACTGAATTTATTTGCAAATTATGGTGGAAAATAAGTATTTGGTCACCTACAAACAAGCAGGATTTCTGGCTCTCACAGACCTGTAACTTCTTCTTTAAGAGGCTCCTCTGTCCTCCACTCGTTACCTGTATTAATGGCACCTGTTTGAACTTGTTATCAGTATAAAAGACACCTGTCCACAACCTCAAACAGTCACACTCCAAACTCCACTATGGCCAAGACCAAAGAGCTGTCAAAGGACACCAGAAACAAAATTGTAGACCTGCACCAGGCTGGGAAGACTGAATCTGCAATAGGTAAGCAGCTTGGTTTGAAGAAATCAACTGTGGGAGCAATTATTAGGAAATGGAAAACATACAAGACCACTGATAATCTCCCTCGATCTGGGGTTCCACGCAAGATCTCACCCCGCAGAACCACACGGGGGGACCTAGTGAATGACCTGCAGAGAGCTGGGACCAAAGTAACAAAGCCTACCATCAGTAACACACTACGCCACCAGGGACTCAAATCCTGCAGTGCCAGACGTGTCCTCCTGCTTAAGCCAGTACATGTCCAGGCCCGTCTGAAGTTTGCTAGAGTGCATTTGGATGATCCAGAAGAGGATTGGGAGAATGTCATATGGTCAGATGAAACCAAAATAGAACTTTTTGGTAAAAACTCAACTCGTCGTGTTTGGAGGACAAAGAATGCTGAGTTGCATCCAAAGAACACCATACCTACTGTGAAGCATGGGGGTGGAAACATCATGCTTTGGGGCTGTTTTTCTGCAAAGGGACCAGGACGACTGATCCGTGTAAAGGAAAGAATGAATGGGGCCATGTATCGTGAGATTTTGAGTGAAAACCTCCTTCCATCAGCAAGGGCATTGAAGATGAAATGTGGCTGGGTCTTTCAGCATGACAATGATCCCAAACACACCGCCCGGGCAACGAAGGAGTGGCTTCGTAAGAAGCATTTCAAGGTCCTGGAGTGGCCTAGCCAGTCTCCAGATCTCAACCCCATAGAAAATCTTTGGAGGGAGTTGAAAGTCTGTGTTGCCCAGCGACAGCCCCAAAACATCACTGCTGTAGAGGAGATCTGCATGGAGGAATGGGCCAAAATACCAGCAACAGTGTGTGAAAACCTTGTGAAGACTTACAGAAAACGTTTGACCTGTGTCATTGCCAACAAAGGGTATATAACAAAGTATTGAGAAACTTTTGTTATTGACCAAATATTTATTTTCCACCATAATTTGCAAATAAATTCATAAAAAATCCTACAATGTGATTTTCTGGATTTTTTTCCCTCATTTTGTCTGTCATAGTTGACGTGTACCTATGATGAAAATTACAGGCCTCTCTCATCTTTTTAAGTGGGAGAACTTGCACAATTGGTGGCTGACTAAATACTTTTTTCCCCCACTGTAGTGGTCAACTGATCAAAACAGGACTATGCTGTTGTTTTATATCACTTTGCATAAAGAGCTACTAAATGACTCAAGTCTAAATTGTTAACCCCTCCTCTCTGTCTCTCACTCTGCCCAGACCCTACAGACCTCTTTCTGACCACGTTCCCCCCCCTCGCCACCCCCCTCCTTCCGCCCCGGGCCCAGCCCCTCCCCTCTACCCCGGCCCTAACCTCTACCACCCACCGCCCCAGTCCTACCCCCCTCCCTACTCCACCGGCCCCCCTCCCCCTGTTAACTACCCCCCCTCCCAGCCCCTCTACCCACCCGGCCAGATGCCTCCGGGGGTTAATGCCCCCTGGGTGCCCCCCCCCAACACCCAGCCTCACTCGCTGGGCCCCCCGCCCCTCCTACCCCCCGGACCACCCCTCTCCAAGGAGGACTTCTACAGACAGAGGAGACTCAGACAGGACCAGTGAGTTACACCTGATTCATTCATTGACATGCTGCTAACCTGATTCATTCATTGACATGCTGCTAACTTGATTCATTCATTGACATGGTGCTAACTTGATTCATTCATAGACATGCTGCTAGCCTGCTAGCTTGATTCATTTATTGACATGCTGCTAGCCTGCTAGCCTGATTCATTAATTGACATGCTGCTAGCCTGATTCATTCATTGATATGCTGCTAGCCTGATTCATTCATTAACATGCTGCTAGCCTGATAGCCTGATTCATTCATTGACATGCTGCTAGCCTGATTCATTCATAGACACGCTGCTAGCCTGCTAGCCTGATTCATTCATTGACGTGCTGCTAGCCTGATTCATTCATTGACATGCTGCTAACTTGATTCATTCATAGACATGCTGCTAGCCTGCTAGCCTGATTCATTAATTGACATGCTGCTAGCCTGATTCATTCATTGACATGCTGCTAACTTGATTCATTCATAGACATGCTGCTAGCCTGCTAGCCTGATTCATTTATTGACATGCTGCTAGCCTGATTCATTCATTGACATGCTGCTAGCCTGATTCATTCATTGACATGCTGCTAGCCTGATTCATTCATTGACATGCTGCTAGCCTGATTCATTCATTGACATGCTGCTAACTTGATTCATTCATAGACATGCTGCTAGCCTGCTAGCCTGATTCATTTATTGACATGCTGCTAGCTTGATTCATTCATAGACATGCCGCTAGCCTGATTCATTCATTGACATGCTGCTAGCCTGATTCATTCATTGACATGCTGCTAGCCTGCTAGCCTGATTTCATTTATTGACATGCTGCTAGCTTGATTCATTCATAGACATGCTGCTAGCCTGCTAGCCTGATTCATTCATTGACATGCTGCTAGCCTGCTAGCCTGATTCATTCATTGACATGCTGCTAGCCTGATTCATTCATTGACATGCTGCTAGCCTGCTAGCCTGATTCATTCATTGACATGCTGCTAGCCTGCTAGCCTGAGGCTGGTGCTTTCAGACGGGGATAGTAAACAATGGCTGCGTTTACACAGACCGCCCAAATCTGATATTTTTCAGATCCCTACATCTGAATTGCTGCCTGTGGAAAAAACGCAGACAATGTGCCAAACTAGCCCGCCGTCGCAATGGCACAGAATGTTACGCAGGCTAGTAGCCCGACCTGGCCAGACCTTCTTATTATTATGGCATGTGACCAGTCCTGTCTCTCTGTGTGTTACCAGGGTAACGTCCAAGCTGGATGAGTTCACTAAAGACTTTGCCAAAGAGCTGATGGAATACAGACCTGCCCCCAAGAGACTGAGACGATCCTACTCCAGGTAACACTGATAGAATGACATCTGACGAGACACAGCAGGTTAAACCACTTCAACTTATTTATACAGATATATTCTCTGATATCTAGGACAGGTTTTAGAATGATATAAATTGCGTAGGAATGGCAATCAGACATATCAACTGTTCCTCCCCCCCCCACCCCCCACCCTCCTCCTCCCCAGGTCTCGTTCCTACAGTCGTTCTCCGTTCAGTCGTTCCCCCTACTCCCGATCCCGTTCTCCCCGCTCTCGCTCCAGGTCTTACTCCTACACCCCCAGCCGCTCCCGTTCTCGCTCCAGGTCTTACGGACGCTCCCCCTTCTCCAGACGCAACGGAGGCCGGGGAGGACGCAGCCGCTCCTACGGCCGCTCGCCGCGCTCCCGCTCACGCTCCCGTTCCTACGGCTACCGCCGCTCCGGCTCTCCACGCTCCCCTCCGCCTTACCGAGGTGGTGGTGGTGGTGGTGGGGGCTGGGAGGGAGGAGACGGAGCTGAAGGAGGAGGGGGGTATCGGCCCCGGTCTCGCTCCCCGGGGGGCTACAGGAGGAGCAGGAGTCCAGGAGGGGTCAGAGGTCACCATAAGCCCCCCCCTCGGGAGCCCCCCCCCTACGACCCTAAAGGGGATCCTGACCTGTCTCCTGGGGGCAGGGAGCGCTGGGAGAGAGATAGCTACAGACAGTGGGAGAGGGAGTACAGAGACTGGTACAACAAGTACTACAAAGACTACAGTACCCAGCATGCCTCAGTGCACCACCGTGGTGGCCGGGGCAGCAGAGAGAGGGACCGCCTCACCCCTCCACCCAGAGACTACTCCCCCCAGGGGCGGGTGAGGAGGGGTGAGAGAGGGGGACCTCCAGGACCCCACAGGACTCACTACGCCCCCCCCTCTCTACCCTCCGCCTCCGTCAGGGGGGATGGAAATAAGGAGCGCACAAAGGGAGGCGCTAGTAAAGAGCGCACGCTGGGGGGGGGAACCAAAACGTCAGAGGGCGGAAATAAAACTCTGAAAGCGAAGAAACTGAAGAAGAAGAAGAACGGGGAGGAGCTGGATTCAGCCAACCAATCACTGGACAGGGGCGATGCTACACCCGTCAGGGACGAGCCAATGGATGACCTCCACACCCTGACTCCTAGCAAAGCCCCACCCACCTCCACTAAGGTCTCGACCAACAAGGCAGCGCTGCTGTCTGGTAAAACCCCTCCCACCTCGTCCAGCAAGGGCCAACCAGAGAAGAGCAGGAAGGAGAAGGGGGGGAAGGGGAAAGTGAAGACGGAGGGGAAGGTTAAGAGAAAGACAGGAGGAGAGGCGACGATCACAGCCTCTAAGAACAAAGAGTCTTCAGCCACTAAACCAACCAAAGCATCTAAGGTCAAACCAGACGAGCCAATCAAGAGAGAGAAGGGGCGGAGCACCACTACTGTTAGAGGAGGTGTGGCTAAACTCCCCACGCCCCGCACCCTCCCCCCTCACCCCCACGACCTCCCTAAACACCTGGGCGACGCCCGAGGGGGGAGGAGAGATCCCATTCAGAGTGTCGGGGTACGACCCCCTGGTCGCCCCCTCCAGCCTGCACCCCCCTCCCCAGCAGAGAAGAGGAGGAGAGTGGAGGAGAGGGAGAGGGAGAGGGAGAGGGGGATGGACAGGGGGATGGGGGGCCCCCCAGCTAAGCTCCGCCGTGCCGAGGGTCTGTACCCCCAGAGAGGACTTCCAGCCAAGCCTCCCCTCCTCCTGAACCTGGCATGCAGAGAGACGGGTAGAGGAGAGGGCCTGCTCCCCATCCCTGGTACCTCACAGACAGGGAGGCTGGACCGTTTCCATCCTATCTCCATCTCCATCCCCGGGCCTGGCTCCTCCATGGACCCAGGGAGAGAGGGGAGAGGCGACGGGCTGCTGCCCACCCCGGGGAGCTCTGAGGCAGGCAGAAGAGAGAGCGACAGGGGGTCTATCTGGCCTCTCATGGGTCTGCAGGTGAAACCCTTCCCCCAGAGGAGAATCAAACTGAACAGAGACCTGGGGAGGAGCAGTAGTACGGTCCGCACGGAGGAGAGACCTGCTACTAATCTCACCACTACTACCACTGGTACTACTGGAGAGAGACCTGCTAGTCCTGAGAGAGGAGGAGGAGGAGGAGAGAGGGATGGAGGGACGGAGAGAGTGGAGCGGAGGTCGTCTGGCGAGAGGTCAGAGGTCAGGTCTGTTAGGTCAGAGAGGCCGTCGTCAGGGGAACGTTTGCCGGAGAGGTCGGAGAGAGGAGGAGGAGGAGGAGGAAGGTCAGTCTCTCTGGACCGCATGACCATCGCGGAGCGCTCGGCCATCGCTAAGAAACCTGACGTCGCCAGGGAGAGGACACCGCCCACCGAGAGAGAGAGACCGGCTGAGAGCTCCAAGGAGAGAGAGAGACCAGCATCAGCCAAGACAGAGAAGTCCTCATCATCCAGGGAACAGAAAGGAGAGAAGACCACGTCCTCGTCCTCCGTAGACAGACCTGCCTCTACAGGAGAGAGAGCGCCAGGGACCCAGAGAGAGACCGGAGCTGAAGACAGGGCAGCAGCAGCGGCGGTGGTGAAGGAGGGTTCTGGTTCTGGGAAGATCAGAAAGATCAGTAGAAAGATACTGGCTGACGCTGGTTCTGAGCCCACGGTCCACCACTCATCAGACCACTCTATCACTTCAACTGGGTGAGTTACCCTTTCAACCTCTGACCTTCAACACTTCTTTATTAACCAGTGTTACTACTGATCAATCATCATTGTGGTTTCAGACCAGACTGTTAGTCGTGAAATGACTGACCTTATTCCTTATATAGTGCCCTGGTCTAAACTAGTACCCTATATAGTGCCCTGGTCTAAACTAGTACCCTATATAGTGCCCTGGTCAAAACTAGTACCGTATATAGTGCCCTGGTCAAAACTAGTACCCTATATAGTGCCCTGGTCAAAACTAGTACCCTATATAGTGCCCTGGTCAAAACTAGTACCCTATATAGTGCCCTGGTCAAAACTAGTACCCTATATAGTGCCCTGGTCTAAACTAGTACCCTATATAGTGCCCTGGTCTAAACTAGTACCCTATATAGTGCCCTGGTCTAAACTAGTACCCTATATAGTGCCCTGGTCTAAACTAGTACCCTATATAGTGCCCTGGTCTAAACTAGTACCCTATATAGTGCCCTGGTCTAAACTAGTACCCTATATAGTGCCCTGGTCTAAACTAGTACCCTATATAGTGCCCTGGTCTAAACTAGTACCCTATAAAGTGCCCTGGTCTAAACGAGTACCCTATATAGTGCCCTGGTCAAAACTAGTACCCTATATAGTGCCCTGGTCAAAACTAGTACCCTATATAGTGCCCTGGTCTAAACTAGTACCCTATATAGTGCCCTGGTCTAAACTAGTACCCTATATAGTGCCCTGGTCAAAACTAGTACCCTATATAGTGCCCTGGTCAAAACTAGTACCCTATATAGTGCCCTGGTCTAAACTAGTACCCTATATAGTGCCCTGGTCTAAACTAGTACCCTATATAGTGCCCTGGTCTAAACTAGTACTCTATATAGTGCCCTGGTCAAAACTAGTACCCTATATAGTGCCCTGGTCTAAACTAGTACCCTATATAGTGCCCTGGTCTAAACTAGTACCCTATATAGTGCCCTGGTCTAAACTAGTACCCTATATAGTGCCCTGGTCTAAACTAGTACCCTATATAGTGCCCTGGTCTAAACTAGTAACCTATATAGTGCCCTGGTCTAAACTAGTACCCTATATAGTGAATAGGGTGCCATTAGGGACGTAGCCCCGTCTCTGTAAATATGCCTAGTTGACTCTCTCTCTCCACTCCCTGATCCTAGATCTGTGTATATAACATGGTTATAATGGTTTCCCAGTTGATGTCGCTAACCCCTGATCCTAGATCTGTGTATATAACATGGTTATAATGGTTTCCCAGTTGATGTCGCTAACCCCTGATCCTAGATCTGTGTATATAACATGGTTATAATGGTTTCCCAGTTGATGTCGCTAACACCTGATCCTGGATCTGTTAAACATGGTTATACTGGTTCTTAGTGGGGTACGAGCGTTGTGCCAGTAACCGAAAGGTCGCTGGTTCTAATCCCCGAGCCAACTAGGTGAAAAGTCTGTCGATGTGCCCTTGAGCAAGGCACTTAACCCTAATGCTCCTGTAGTCGTCTGGATAAGAGCGTCTGCTAAATGACAAAAAAAAAAGAAAAAAAAAAAAAAGAAATGTTCTCTCTAACCCCTGATCCTGGATCTGTGTGTTCCATTAGCAGCAGGGCTGTGGAGGAGAGGTCTGAGCCGGGCCAGAGCCAAGGGTTGCTGTGTCTGTACCCCGGGACCTCCAGACCCAGAGGAGACCCAGTCCCGTCCAGTTCCCCAGCCCAGGCAGGGAGAGGGAGCGTGGGACCGGAGGCGTCCTCATCCAGCCTCCACCCCGGTCCAAGTGGGAGAGAGAGGAGGAGGAGGAGGAAGAGGAGCAGCAGCGCTCTGGGTCCAGGGAGAACGGGGCGTTGGCGGTTTCCTCCTCCGGGCCCAGAGACGCTCTGAGGGAAGCCTCACCAGTGCCACCTAGAGGCCAAGGCAGGGAGGTGCAGGGTAGTAGCACGAAAACAGCCAATTCAGAGGGGAAGAGAGGGAAGGAGGAGGGGAAGAGAGGGAAGGAGGAGGGGAAGAGAGGGAAGGAGGAGGGGAAGAGAGGGAAGGAGGAGGGGAAGAGAGGGAAGGAGGAGGGGAAGAGAAGGAGGGAGGAAGCCAGAGGGCTCAAAGAGGGGCAGGTGAACTTTAGTAAACCAGCTAAGACTGACTCCAGAGGGGTGAAGGAGGAGGGAAGAGGAAGGGGAGGGAGGGACGAGAGTCGAGGGGCGGGGCCAGAGCCAAGGCGCCAGCGCCTGTGTTCTGACCTCGGCAGGGAGACGGATGAGGCGGCCTTCGTCCCCGACTACAGCGAAGGGGAGGGGTCAGACGGAGAGAGGGGCAGTGGCCTGAGCCGTAGCCCCTCCCACAACACGCAGAGCCCCGCCTCCCAGAGCCCCGGCGGCTCCCCTAGCAACCACAGCGGCTCCACGGCAACGGAGAAGAAGAAGAAGAAACACAAGAAACACAAAAAACACAAGAAGCACAAGAAGCATTCTGCCGACGCTGAGCCTCCCGCCGCAGGAAGGAAGGAGCACAAACACAAGAACAAGAAGAAGAAACACAGGAAGAATAAAGAGAAGGAGGAAGGAGAAGGGGGGGGAGGGGGGGGAGGAGGGGGAGAGGCAGGGGAGAAGACTGAGCAGGAGTCTGCCACCATCTGAGACCCTGCTAGCTCAGGATAGCTAATGGTTAGTTTTCAACCTGAGTTTTCTAGTTCACGCTAGCTCCGTTAGCATCTAGCTAAAGGCTACAACTGAGACTGCTAGGTCACGCTAGCTCCGTTAGCATCTAGCTAACGGCTACAACTGAGACTGCTAGTTCACGCTAGCTCCTTTAGCATCTAGCTAAAGGCTACAACTGAGACTGCTAGGTCACGCTAGCTCTGTTAGCATCTAGCTGTTGCTTACAACCTCGAGTTTGCTAGCTTATGCTAGCTCTTTTAGCATTTAGCTAAAGGTTACAACTGGACTTGTCCTTCTTGGGGGGGGGGATACTTTATGTCACATTCTTTTTAAATACTTAAGCTGAGCTGGATATAGTTGATGTATAATGGAATCACTGGAATAAGTGGAGCTCATCTCAGATATTTGTAAAGTATTTGATGTATTTGTGACCCCCCCCCAAGGTGAGAACTGTAAAATAAAGATTCTCCTCTGTTTTCTGTTTAATGTGATGCAGTTTTTTTTCCTGTGTCTATGATGCAGGTTCTCTGTGAATGTGTTTTTTTTGTACAGAGATGACACTGCAGTATTTTCTATTACCCCTTTTGATCAATGGGCTATAAAAGGTGTCTGAAACTCTGAAGTGTCCCAAATTGGCACCCTGTTCCCTATATAGTGCACAACTTCTGACCAGAGCCTTGAGTCATAAGGGACCCTAGTCTTATAGGGCCTCGGCTCATAGGACTCTGGTCAAACGTAGTGCACTGTTTAGGGAACAGGGTGCAGTTTAGGACAGTTCCCTGATGAATAAGGAGGTTAATCTCATCATGTTCATATGAACTGATCTGAGGTCAGGCTAACTGAATAGTTGAATAGGAGGTTAATCTCATCATGTTCATATGAACTGATCTGAGGTCAGGCTAACTGAATAGTTGAATAGGAGGTTAATCTCATCATGTTCATATGAACTGATCTGAGGTCAGGCTAACTGAATAGTTGAATAGGAGGTTAATCTCATCATGTTCATATGAACTGATCTGAGGTCAGGCTAACTGAATAGTGACTACTGGAAGTTACTGTTAAACTTTGTTTTAAATTAAAATGTTTTTTCCCCCTTAAACTCTCTCGACTGTTGTATTTTCATTTATAGTTTATTTAAAACGAAAGTCTTTATCAGAATCCCCACCGTTCTTCCTGTTCGACAGTGTGAACCATGTGTTTTTAATGACTTTGGCACATTTATTTCCGAAACTGGTAACACTTGTAATCCCCTCCTATCTTATGTTCAGAACCTTTTGATCGGGGAATTCATTGGAGTTGAACACGTCTCTCAACCCCTGCACCATTTAATGCCAAATCAAAGGTTTCTGTGAAACACCATCAGTCCATTTTTAGTTTAGTCACCGATCCATAATGATCGGCTCACTGGTTAGTCATTTTAACATTGTTATGATGTGTTTCTCGGGTATCAAGTAATTAAGGATGCAAGAATATACTTAGACAACTATGTGGAAAGTTAATACAAAATGTTTAATATTCGGTACCATGGTTCGTTCTAACAAAAGTCACATGCTTCGCCTCATATATATATATATGACTAGAGTCTAATACTGATAACAAGTTCAAACAGGTGCCATTAATACATGTAACGAGTGGAGGACAGAGGAGCCTCTTAAAGAAGAAGTTACAGGTCTGTGAGAGCCAGAAATCTTGCTTGTTTGTAGGTGACCAAATACTTATTTTCCACCATAATTTGCTAAATAAATTCATTAAAAATCCTACAATGTGATTTTCGGGATTTGTTTTTCTCAATTTGTCTGTCATAGTTGACGTGTACCTATGATGGAAATTACAGGCCTCTCTCATCTTTGTAAGTGGGAGAACTTGCACAATTGGTGGCTGACTAAATACTTGTTCTCCCCACTGTATATATATATATATATATATATACATATATATATATGACTAGAGTCTAAACTATGCTAGATAACTGAGAATTCACCCCTCTCTACCTTCTATACCTGAATCCAACCAGATTCTCAATATATTTAATCAACAAAGGTATAAATTCTCAGTCATCTATCTCATGCACTCTCAAACCGGCTGTGGACTCCGTCTGAGTAAAAGATAGATACATTATTAACTACTATATATTCACGCTAAAAATATATGTAGTCCAAACCTTACTGATATATAAGGAAAAATACCACATAGAACCTCCCCATTAAAAAAAAAAATTAATGACCCCCTTGTATACACAATTTTCAAATATACCCATCATCTTAGACATGCTACCAAGAAAAACATACATAGAAATACATTCATGACATCATCCGCACAAATACAATGATACACGACCCCTTTCTAAGATACATGGATATTATAATATGGTCAGATGAATATATCTCAATAAAAATAACGTCAGTCTTCTTCATCCATGTTCATTCAAAGAGGAACCCCAAGCTTTTCTCTGGTCACTTGGGGGGGGGGGGGGGCGCCGTCTGATCGACTGAGGTAGTCTAGTTTCCCACATCTTCAATCCCGTAAAACCTTTAAATTCCACGTTCCAACTTAACATTCCCCAATCAACATTATTAATGGACTCTAAACTGGAATGTTTTCTAGGATGGAGTGAAACTCATTGCTAGCTATATCTTTTTCAACCTGCCAGTGCAACTGACTGACTGGCTAGCTAGCTAGCGGTTAGCGCTAGTTAACGTTAGCTATCATATTTTTTGCACAATTAAATGTGATAGCTAGCTAGCTTTTCTGGATATTTTAAACACTTCTATTTTTTGATGATGACATTCCTGTCTTAATACCCATATGCATGTCAATATAGTAGCGTCACTGTTCAGTAACATGCAAGTAAGCACAACAGCTAAGGTAGCCACAATATGACCTGACATTAAAGACTAAACAATATAATAATAAAATAATAATAATATGCCATTTAGCAGACGCTTTTATCCAAAGCGACTTACAGTCATGCGTGCATACATTTTTTGTGTATGGGGTGGTCCCGGGGATCGAACCCACTACCTTGGCGTTACAAGCGCCGTGCTCTACCAGCTGAGCTACAGAGGACCACAATATGATTAAATATACCTTAAATTCCACGTTATACAGTTCCAACTTAACATTCCCCATTCCTCAATCAACATTATTAATAGACTCTAAACTGGAATGAGATGATATAGAAGGATAATTAGTCCTCTCCCTCCTCGCATTAATAACGACTGATACATCTCTAGCTGTAATCACTGGCATGTTAGTAATCGTTTGTACAGATCTCAAAATCAAACAAAACCCCCCCACAAATTCTGACAAACTCCAACCATTGATTATGTAAGAATGGGCTGCCATCAGTCAGGATGTGGCGCAGAAGTTAATTGACAGCATGCCAGGGCGGATTGCAGAGGTCTTGAAAAAGAAGGGTCAACACTGCAAATATTGACTCTTTGCATAAACTTAATGTAATTGTCAATAAAAGCCTTTGACACTTATGGAATGCTTGTAATTATACTTCAGTATACCATAGTAACATCTGACAGAAATATCTAAAAACACTGAAGCAGCAAACTTTGTGAAGACCAATACTTGTCATTCTCAAAACGTCTGACCACGACTGTACATATCCCATAAATTCGGAAGTCTCCCTTCTAAATCATCCCGTAATGTTTGTATTGACAAATTCAACAGGCTGAACCACATAGATAAGGTCGTTTAAAGTACAGACTCAACATATTCCCCTGAACAGTGGAGGAAGAGTACCGGTAACGAGTTCAAACAGGTGCAGTTAATACAGGTAATGAGTGGAGAACAGGAGGGCTTCTTAAAGAAAAACTAACAGGTCTGTGAGAGCCGGAATTCTTACTGGTTGGTGGTAGGTGATCAAATACTTATGTCATGAAATAAAATGCAAATTAATTACTTAATCATACAATGTGATTTTCTGGATTTTTGTTTTAGATTCCGTCTCTCACAGTTGAAGTGTACCTTAGATAAAAATTACAGACCTCTACATGCTATGTAAGTAGGAAAACCTGCAAAATCGGCAGTGTATCAAATACTTGTTCTCCCCACTGTATATTATTTCCACAACACCAAAAAAAAAACTGGAATCGGTAATGTTCCCACTTTTGAAATGCTCCTGTGTGTGTTCTCTGCTGTATAATCAGTTCACTTGAGGTTGTAAAGCATTTCCTACAGTCAGCGCAGTGGTATGGTTTCTCTCAGGTGTGTATTTCTCTTGTGTGAAGCCAGGGTTCCTGACTTAGTGAATCTCTTCCCACATTCATCACAGCTGTGAAGTTTCTCTCCGGTGTGAATCCTCCTGTTGTACGTCAACCCCCGGGCCTGAGTAAATATCTTTTCACACTGAACAGCTGTACGTCCTCTTTAATGTGTGGATTCTCTGGTGATTTCTTAAGGAATCTGATCTTAAAAACCTGAGTCCACACTCGCGCAGCTGTAATGATTGTTTTTGAGTGAGTTCGCATGTCACCTGACGTGACAAACTCTTCCCACACTGATCACAGTGGTGTGGCTTCTCTCCTGTGTGCCTTCTCTTGTGTACTTTAAAAGACGAAGGGCTGGGCAAAACTTTTCCCACAGTCAGGGAAAGGGCAGTGGTATGGCCTCTCTCCTGTGTGTCTTCGCTGGTGAATTCGCAAGGTTGTCGTTGCGGCAAAGTTGTTCCCACAGTCTGAGCAAGAGTACGGTTTCTCTCCCTTGTGAAGACGCTCGTGTTCATTGAGAGAATATTGCAGAAGGAAGCTTTTGTCACAGTGGGAGCAATGGTAAGGCTTCTCTCCGGTATGTATAAGCTGGTGTTTCTTCAATGCGCCTTGCGTTGTGCAGCTCAACTCACACAGAGCATTGGTACATCGTCTCTGAATGTGTGAACTTGTGTTCCTTTAAAAAGTCAAGTCTTGAAAAGCTCTTCTTGCAGTCAGAGCAGTGATAGGGTTTCTCTCCTGTGTGTATTCTTCGGTGTG